GACCTCCCCAACAAGCATCTCATAGGAGTCGACGGACTGGGGACCTCCCCAACAAGCATCTCATAGGAGTCGACGGACTGGGGACCTCCCCAACAAGCATCTCATAGGAGTCGACGGACTGGGGACCTCCCCAACCAGCATCTCGTAGGAGTCGACGGACTGGGGACCTCCCCAACCAGCATCTCATAGGAGTCGACGGACTGGGGACCTCCCCAACCAGCATCTCGTAGGAGTCGACGGACTGGGGACCTCCCCAACCAGCATCTCGTAGGAGTCGACGGACTGGGGACCTCCCCAACAAGCATCTCATAGGAGTCGACGGACTGGGGACCTCCCCAACCAGCATCTCGTAGGAGTCGACGGACTGAGGACCTCCCCAACCAGCATCTCATAGGAGTCGACGGACTGGGGACCTCCCCAACAAGCATCTCATAGGAGTCGACGGACTGGGGACCTCCCCCAACCAGCATCTCGTAGGAGTCGACGGACTGGGGACCTCCCCAACCAGCATCTCATAGGAGTCGACGGACTGGGGACCTCCCCAACAAGCATCTCGTAGGAGTCGACGGACTGGGGACCTCCCCAACAAGTATCTCATAGGAGTCGACGGACTGGGGACCTCCCCAACCAGCATCTCATAGGAGTCGACGGACTGGGGACCTCCCCAACAAGCATCTCATAGGAGTCGACGGACTGGGGACCTCCCCCAACCAGCATCTCGTAGGAGTCGACGGACTGGGGACCTCCCCAACCAGCATCTCATAGGAGTCGACGGACTGGGGACCTCCCCAACAAGCATCTCGTAGGAGTCGACGGACTGGGGACCTCCCCAACAAGTATCTCATAGGAGTCGACGGACTGGGGACCTCCCCAACCAGCATCTCGTAGGAGTCGACGGACTGGGGACCTCCCCAACCAGCATCTCGTAGGAGTCGACGGACTGGGGACCTCCCCAACCAGCATCTCGTAGGAGTCGACGGACTGGGGACCTCCCCCAACAAGCATCTCATAGGAGTCGACGGACTGGGGACCTCCCCAACCAGCATCTCGTAGGAGTCGACGGACTGGGGACCTCCCCCAACAAGCATCTCATAGGAGTCGACGGACTGGGGACCTCCCCCAACAAGCATCTCATAGGAGTCGACGGACTGGGGACCTCCCCCAACAAGCATCTCATAAGAGTCGACGGACTGGGGACCTCCCCCAACCAGCATCTCATAGGAGTCGACGGACTGGGGACCTCCCCAACCAGCATCTCGTAGGAGTCGACGGACTGGGGACCTCCCCAACCAGCATCTCGTAGGAGTCGACGGACTGGGGACCTCCCCAACCAGCATCTCGTAGGAGTCGACGGACTGGGGACCTCCCCAACCAGCATCTCGTAGGAGTCGACGGACTGGGGACCTCCCCAACCAGCATCTCATAGGAGTCGACGGACTGGGGACCTCCCCAACCAGCATCTCATAGGAGTCGACGGACTGGGGACCTCCCCAACCAGCATCTCATAGGAGTCGACGGACTGGGGACCTCCCCAACCAGCATCTCGTAGGAGTCGACGGACTGGGGACCTCCCCAACCAGCATCTCGTAGGAGTCGACGGACTGGGGACCTCCCCAACCAGCATCTCGTAGGAGTCGACGGACTGGGGACCTCCCCAACCAGCATCTCGTAGGAGTCGACGGACTGGGGACCTCCCCAACCAGCATCTCGTAGGAGTCGACGGACTGGGGACCTCCCCAACCAGCATCTCATAGGAGTCGACGGACTGGGGACCTCCCCAACCAGCATCTCGTAGGAGTCGACGGACTGGGGACCTCCCCAACCAGCATCTCGTAGGAGTCGACGGACTGGGGACCTCCCCAACCAGCATCTCATAGGAGTCGACGGACTGGGGACCTCCCCAACCAGCATCTCATAGGAGTCGACGGACTGGGGACCTCCCCAACCAGCATCTCATAGGAGTCGACGGACTGGGGACCTCCCCAACCAGCATCTCATAGGAGTCGACGGACTGGGGACCTCCCCAACCAGCATCTCACAGGAGTCGACGGACTGGGGACCTCCCCAACCAGCATCTCATAGGAGTCGACGGACTGGGGACCTCCCCAACCAGCATCTCATAGGAGTCGACGGACTGGGGACCTCCCCAACCAGCATCTCATAGGAGTCGACGGACTGGGGACCTCCCCAACCAGCATCTCATAGGAGTCGACGGACTGGGGACCTCCCCAACCAGCATCTCATAGGAGTCGACGGACTGGGGACCTCCCCCAACCAGCATCTCATAGGAGTCGACGGACTGGGGACCTCCCCAACCAGCATCTCATAGGAGTCGACGGACTGGGGACCTCCCCAACCAGCATCTCATAGGAGTCGACGGACTGGGGACCTCCCCAACCAGCATCTCATAGGAGTCGACGGACTGGGGACCTCCCCCAACAAGCATCTCATAGGAGTCGACGGACTGGGGACCTCCCCAACAAGCATCTCATAGGAGTCGACGGACTGGGGACCTCCCCCAACAAGCATCTCATAGGAGTCGACGGACTGGGGACCTCCCCAACAAGCATCTCATAGGAGTCGACGGACTGGGAACCTCCCCAACAAGCATCTCATAGGAGTCGACGGACTGGGGACCTCCCCAACAAGCATCTCATAGGAGTCGACGGACTGGGGACCTCCCCAACAAGCATCTCATAGGAGTCGACGGACTGGGGACCTCCTTCAAAGTCAGCCCCAGCGGAAAGGAACAATCAACTGCATGCAAACAAGCCAGTAAAACGAATGTCCATGCAAGAATCAGATCTTCGCACAAACGGGTGACCAACCAGGCCTTTCCTCTGGAGCTGAAAGCCGGTGAACAAAGAAGAAGAGGGAGTCTACCTTATCATACACATTTGATAATTTTTATATATAAATCTCTCACACAATCAGATATAACAGTATACCTTTCGCACACACTACGATCAACATGACAATATTGTATAATTGTGTAATGCGGTTCTTTTGCCTCAATGATAACAAATTGAAGTAGAAGCCAGGCTGTCTGCGGTATGGTCATGCATCAAACACATCCAATACCCTGACAGGCAACAGTCTACAACCTACAACCCCTTAGCAATCAAACTGAAACAAACTTAAATTTATAAACATGAGAACTGCAAAAAGCATGGCATTACAAAACGGAGGGTTTCTTAATTTTGTTTTGCAGAACCCTGATTTAGACCCCAATTAGGAAATATTGGTCTAGATGCCACATGGTGAACAGTTGTCAGTGACAGCTCCAACAGTTGTCAGTGACAGCCCCAACAGTTGTCAGTGACAGCTCCAACAGTTGTCAGTGACAGCTCCAAGAAGACTGAAGCAGGGGTTACCTTCTAGCCAGCTCGCACATTAATCCTTAACCTCTTTTACTGAAAGGGAAAAGTGTCCACTCTGAACAAACTCACTGTAGACGTCCACTGAATTGTTGCAGATATGACCCAAGAACTTGTTTGCCACACCAGGCACTGATGTGTCACCAGGCACTGATGCATCACCAGGCACTGATGCGTCACCAGGCACTGATGCGTCACCAGGCACTGATGCGTCACCAGGCACTGATGCGTCACCAGGCTATTTTTCACATTAGTGACAGGTGATGTTTCCCCATTCTGGTCTGGTAGTCTTAGTTTCAGCTTCATAGCAAACGGGTTGCCCCATCTTTGCTCCGCTCCTGTGCCAGCGAAAAACACTCAGAATGTCTATCACAGTCCCGTGTGGAAAGATTGACAGACTGCTGTCTCAGCATATCTAGCATACACTCGCATTAAAGCATATGGTAGCCATCTGAAGTGCTAACACAAACAGTCCAACATTAGAAATGCAGTTCATCATTGATGATAGCAGAACTTGTCGTCAACAGATCAGCAGTTGTCCGCGTGATCAATTTTAATACGAGTCCCGCAAGCATTGAACGACAGGAATCGCGCCATTTTCTGAATCTACAATTCACACCACGTTGGTCACAGTAGAAAAAAAACATTCCAAATGCAATCCGCAGCTCACAGGGTCACGCCATGCATTCAACTCAGAAGCTGGGCGACGAAACTATATCCAGTCTACAAATGGAGCAAAAATGCATCGGCCACCGTCCGGCAGAAGCAAAAAATTCGCCTCTGTTCCGAACGGCGCCGCTGTCTAGCGTCCATTTTAACCGGATGTTTCCCCATGTTGTGATCTAGCATATGCAACATCCTTTGTACTGTACACACCTGGAGGTCCAACATTATGTGTCTGTCCTTTACTGTGGATCAACACACAGCAAACATCCTCAGTTGCAATTTTCAAACCTAGAGACACTTCTCTACCACAGGATGATGATCACAAAAAGAGGTCATGATACCAATATCCGGAAAATGTGCTACTACAAACAGCCCTTTTATTGAATTAATCCACTGCCATCAAAAAACATAAAATGATTCCAGAAATCAACAACCCTGAACACAACAAAATCATACTGAAAAGACCCCATTAAAGAATTCTAGTACAACATTCACACAGGTTTAGGTCTACTTCACAATTTTAACCCGAATGCCTCTTTTAGTATGCCTAGTCATGCTGCAGATGACACCAGAATGCCTTACAACATATTTGTATTTTGTCTTCCCACCAAAAATTTGGTTGTTCATTTGCTGAAGCAAACATCTTGAAGCCGACAACTGCAAATACAATCTCAATAGGAAAAATCTGCAACTATCATATCACTGTCATTGCTGTGTCACCTGAAAGCAAGCAAGTCTTGTCTGAGCAACAAACATCTCCCTGCAGAAGTTTCCACTGAACAAGACAACAAGCATGTCTGCCGGTACACAGCGGACAGCAGGAGAGGACTCAGATGTCACACACACACACTCATTCATCCTGTCAACTTCACATCCAGAGCAAATGCTGAGAAATCTTGGTTTATGATACACTGTCCAGATCAGTCAAGCTATTAAAAACACGGTCAATGTCAGAGTCTACAACATATAGTCCAGCTCATAGCGGACATACTGGTTCTTGGCATCATTGGGGATGCGTGGGTACGATGGGATGAGTCCGTCCTGAGCCCCGATGTAGACGGTGTTGTAGACCTTCCAGTAAACATCACGGACTTTCCTGGCTGGGTGGAACAGGCCCTGCAACAATATGGATGTGTTTGGTTAACAGGAGAAGGTGAGAACATCACAATAACGTTTAGGAAACATTCCAACAGCCAAACCTTACTACATGTGCCCAGAACATTGCTTTCTGCCCTCCATAAACAAGTCCAGCAATCAGTACCAACACCCAAGGATTCATACTTCAGCCAAACAGGGATTTCCATAAAAAACATTCAATGCACCAAAGCCTGGGTCAGAAACATTCACTATAGAAGTGCAAAGTAAATTTACAAGAAATACATGAGGAAACACAAATGAATTTTTAAATGAAGTTATGACAGGTTAGGAATTATAATCACACTGAGGTGGCTGACGCCGCTAGGGACCAGGTATCCACCGGCACAAGTGGACACCTCAAGGGTGCCCTCTGCCCTTGGCAAAAGTATCTCAGAGCAGGGCAGTCACTGTCCCCAGCAGCCTGTTAGGTTGTGTGAAAAGCTGAGGACATAGTCTAGAACCATGTGGATGTGGAGAGCAAAGACCAGCAAGGAAATCAAACATTTCTGGGCATGCACATTTCCTGTAGCAACGTGCCCACGTGAGTCATGGACTATCTCATATTTATTAGGGAAGAAAATAGAAGCTGAAATGATACAGTTGAGTGGAAAGAGCAGTAGCAGAATGTATGATACCTGGAAAGAGGGGCACAGAAAACGAGACATCATGGCCAAGAAAGTGTACGAGGTAAGCACCATTCTGTACAGGACCTGCTACATGACCATAAAGTTATCAGTGAAACTGCCTAGCCATTAAATAGTGACACCACAGTAGCAGTCTCTGAAAGTGTTTTAATGTGACACCACAGTAGCAGTCTCTGAAAGTGTTTTAATGTGACACCACAGTAGCAGTCTCTCAAAGTGTTTTAATGTGACACCACAGTAGCAGTCTCTGAAAGTGTTTTATTGTGACACCACAGTAGCAGTCTCTGAAAGTGTTTTAATGTGACACCACAGTCGCAGTCTCTGAAAGTGTTTTAATGTGACACAACAGTAGCAGTCTCTGAAAGTGTTTTAATGTGACACCACAGTAGCAGTCTCTGAAAGTGTTTTATTGTGACACCACAGTAGCAGTCTCTGAAAGTGTTTTAATGTGACACAACAGTAGCAGTCTCTGAAAGTGTTTTATTGTGACACAACAGTAGCAGTCTCTGAAAGTGTTTTATTGTGACACAACAGTAGCAGTCTCTGAAAGTGTTTTAATGTGACACCACAGTAGCAGTCTCTGAAAGTGTTTTAATGTGACACAACAGTAGCAGTCTCTGAAAGTGTTTTATTGTGACACAACAGTAGCAGTCTCTGAAAGTGTTTCAATGTGACACAACAGTAGCAGTCTCTGAAAGTGTTTTAATGTGACACCACAGTAGCAGCCTCTGAAAGTGTTTTAATGTGACACAACAGTAGCAGTCTCTGAAAGTGTTTTATTGTGACACAACAGTAGCAGTCTCTGAAAGTGTTTTATTGTGACACAACAGTAGCAGTCTCTGAAAGTGTTTTAATGTGACACCACAGTAGCATTTTCTGAAAGTGTTTTAATGTGACACCACAGTAGCAGTCTCTGTAAGTGTTTTAATGTGACACCACAGTAGCAGTCTCTGAAAGTGTTTTAATGTGACACCAAAGTAGCAGTCTCTGTAAGTGTTTTAATGTGACACCACAGTAGCAGTCTCTGAAAGTGTTTTAATGTGACACCACAGTAGCAGTCTCTGAAAGTGTTTTAATGTGACACCACAGTAGCAGTCTCTCAAAGTGTTTTAATGTGACACCACAGTAGCAGTCTCTCAAAGTGTTTTAATGTGACACCACAGTAGCAGTCTCTGAAAGTGTTTTAATGTGACACCACAGTAGCAGTCTCTGAAAGTGTTTTGATGTGACACCACAGTAGCAGTCTCTCAAAGTGTTTTAATGTGACACAACAGTAGCAGTCTCTCAAAGTGTTTTAATGTGACACCGCAGTAGCAGTCTCTGAAAGTGTTTTAATAATGTGACACCACAGTAGCAGTCTCTCAAAGTGTTTTAATGTGACACCACAGTAGCAGTCTCTCAAAGTGTTTTAATGTGACACAACAGTAGCAGTCTCTCAAAGTGTTTTAATTTGACACCGCAGTAGCAGTCTCTGAAAGTGTTTTAATAATGTGACACCACAGTAGCAGTCTCTGAAAGTGTTTTAATGTGACACCACAGTAGCAGTCTCTGAAAGTGTTTTAATGTGACACCACAGTAGCAGTCTCTGAAAGTGTTTTAATGTGACACCACAGTAGCAGTCTCTCAAAGTGTTTTAAAGTGACACAGCAGTAGCAGTCTCTGAAAGTGTTTTAATGTGACACCACAGTAGCAGTCTCTCAAAGTGTTTTTATGTGACACCACAGTAGCAGTCTCTGAAAGTGTTTTAATGTGACACCACAGTAGCAGTCTCTCAAAGTGTTTTAATGTGACAGGTGTCTGGACATTAAATGACACAACTAGCTATGGAATGATCAAACAGTCTGAACAGCAAGATGGACTTAGAGATTGAGAGAAAGTATGATGACTGTGAACACGCATCTCTAGTTTATGAGGACATCAAGCAATAGACCCAGCAAGTACAACATGCAAAAATGAACATTATTATGAAGGCTATGACAATGTCTGCATCCCAGGTGTAAACAAGCAATGCTTACCTGCAGGGCGTACTGAAAGATTTTGGATGGACCGATGGCCACCCTCAAGCCTTCCACGGCTCCCATGAAAGCCTGGACAACATGAGGTGAGTTCTCAAAGATGTTTGGCCACACATAGTTGAGCAGGTGGATCAAGGCATCCTCACAGCCAAACCCACACACACCTAAAGCCATGTGCTGAATGGCTGCCATTGCTGTCTGCCGATGGACCAGGTCTCTGCAAGTTAGATCACAAGTTACAGGTCAACACTGTGTACATCTCTAACCATAAAGATCACAAGTGACAGGTCAACACTGAGTATATCTCTAACCATAAAGATCACAAGTTAAAGGTCAACACTGAGTACATTTATAACCATGAAGATCACAAGTGACAGGTCAACAGTACATCTATAACCATGAAGATTACAAGTTACAGGTCAACACTGAGTACATCTATAACCATGAAGATCACAAGCTACAGGTCAACAATGAGTACATCTATAACCATGAAGATCACAAGTTACAGGTCAACACTGAGTTCATCTATAACCATGAAGATCACAAGTTACAGGTCAACACTGAGTACATCTATAACCATGAAGATCACAAGTGACAGGTCAACACTGAGTACATCTATAACCATAAAGATCACAAGTTACAGGTCAACACTGAGTACATCTCTAACCATGAAGATCACAAGTTACAGGTCAACACCGAGTACATCTATAACCATGAAGATCACAAGTTACAAGTCAACACTGAGTACATCTCTAACCATGAAGATCACAAGTGACAGGTCAACACCGAGTACATCTATAACATGCCTTCACTTCTGTACTCAGCCAGGAAACATCTGTAACTGGCTATACTTTATATGTCCCAATTAACGTGTCATGTAATGTTATCACCACTGAAGTTACGGCACATCCCACGCCTGCTCAGTGCTCTGATACAGCAGCCACTCCACGATATCCCTAGTGATCACACCAATGTCACTTAATCTTTTCCTTAGTCACAGCTCAACAGATACATCTGAACAGTCTTTTTCTGCCCCTTAGTCTCAATTAAACAGAAGACAGGCCCTCAATTTGTACGAAGACGCCATAATTGGTTATATGTGTGGCCATACTTTTTTAATGCGATGAGTTAGCCAACCCCAAGCCTAGATTTAGTTACCTCTTACAACATGCCTGCTAGGGTGCAGTGTAAATGTTACTATCCTTTGCTTCCCGTGAGGTTTCCAGTAAACACACAGACAGACAATATTTGATACAGTGTTCTGTTTTACAGACAAAGCATAATGCTCCAGCAAAGACACAAACCTGTCCATCAAGGCATCCTCCAAGAGTGGAGCCACAGGATAAATGTAGTCTTTGCCCATCTCCCCGATGTACTCAAACATGAAGGACAAGGACTTCAGGACACCGTTCTGGACATTGAGTTCCGGGACCCTGTACTCGTTCATGAGAGCTGGCAGAACCGTAAATGGGGAGCATGTCTCAGCGACGATGGCAATGGCCACGGTTGTGCAGACACGGTTCTGACGTTCCTGGACTTTGAGGTTGTTCAAGAGGGTGGCTAGCACATCGTGTGGGCTGGAACATTGAGAAGAAAACTAAATTATGTAACATTCTCAGTCAATTACATCACAAGGGCCAAGAAATAAATTGTCATAAATTAGAAATGCATGAACAGAGAAACAAATTCTTGGACGAACTTGAAGTTCTGACAACATTGTCTGCTTTTTTCTTGTAGTACACTCTGTGTGGCCCAGGTATACTACATTCCCTATGCCTCAGGTAATACCAGCACACTGCCTCTTCTATACTGCCACCTGTCTCTGATACAGATATTCTTCCACGCGATGATGCAGTAACTGTTTAACTATCCTCCCTCTCTCTCTTGGTTTCTCTTTCTCGCCAGCTTTCCTGGTCTAACAACATACACCCCCCCCCCCCACCAAAAAAAAAAACTGTTTAAAGGAGGTAGACTGTGATGCATGTAATTTTTGTGAGTCTGTTTAAAGACATCATTACCTTTCTTTTTCTGTCCATCATTATCATCAAGTGCCTTTGCGGAATGGTGTGTGCGATCATACCTATCTGCAATAAGTGATCTGCAACTGCGTGTATCAGTTTGTGTGTTGACACATCTCCATGCCCTGACACAAGGCTGTCAAGAATATTCTCACGATGTGTTCCTCTGTTTTTCTTTCCACAAACCTTTTCAGTTGTCACAACAAGTTTCAGTTTCCCTCTTCTCATAACATGACCACAAAATGAGGACTGCCTCTTTCTATTGTTTGTGATAAATTGTTTTTAGGCCCTCGCCTCTTTCAAAACATCTGGGTTGTTGTTCTTAGCTGACCGAGGAATTCTAAGGATTCTTCTGTAAAACATCTCCCGAGGCCTCAAGGCAGTGTGCTGCTTGTTTTTTAATCATCCAGGATTCACTGCCGTTGGTTAAAACTGGCTCCATGTAGCATTTGAGGACGCTTTTCCTAACCTTCAATGGCATGGGTTTACTGCACAAAATGTTCTTTATTTTATAAAAGGCAGTTCTGGCCCGTCCTATACTGTTCTTTATCTCTGAGATACATCATCATCAGATGTTATCCATGTGCCTTGATACTCAAATGTCTGTACTTGTCCTAAAATAACGTCTTTGATCTTTATTATACACTAGGTACTTTTCTTTTCTTGGAAATCGCCATTACTTTTGTCTTCTAATTATTCAAACCGAGGCCCATATTATCACTTTCTACCGCCACCGTATTTATCTAGACTGCGTCATCAGCATAATGCAGGCTATGTTCTGACAACCAACCACAATTCCTGATACATCCATGATAGATCTCATGATATATTCACTGTATTATAAAACTCAATGATGTGATAGTACACATGTTTGTCATACTTCCCTGTTAATGCTCTGAAATGTTCCCAAATGGTTGATCATCTGTCCAGTGTTCTCATGATTGCTATCACAACTAGAACTTGACGATCAAAACAAAACGGTCACCAGGTACCTTCAACAACAACAACAGACATGTGCGGTGATAAGATAACAATGGGTACTTTTATTTTATACGTCCATTTCGTATCTCGTCAGCTTCGAGATTTCGTAGGGATTTCCTAGGGATTAGGGGGTGTCTGTAGGATAAGGGCTAGTGTTCAATGAATAGCGACTACTACTAAGCCTAACCCCCCATACTATGGAACGGTCTGAAGATTTCCCTACCAAATCTCAAAGCAGACAAGATGTGGTCGCATAAAATTAAGTATCTAACAATGACTTTAACAATAACAGACATGTTGGGTCACAAGATAACAACAACAAATAGCACCTACTCACCCAATAGCTTTAGCGATGTAACCAAAGGTGTTGACAGTTGCTCGACGAATGGCTTTCTTGTGCGCCTTGAGAAGTTCCAGCAGCTCAAAGCAAATTCTCATCCACTCCCTGGCTGAGACAAACTCTGGACCTCGGTCAGCGATACGGCCAACCAGATCGATGCAGTTCTCTTGTACCTTTTCATGTCTGTCAACAACAACATAGCAAGACTGAGCCAAATGTGTTCACATGTGCACACACCCACCTCTTATAGCTAACTATAGGCAACATGTGCACACACCCACCTCTTATAGCTAACTATAGGCAACATGTGCACACACCCACCTCTTATAGCTAACTATAGGCAACATGTGCACACACTCACCTCATATAGCTAACTATATGCAACATGTGCACACACACACACCTCATAGCTAAACATAGGCAGCATGTGCACACACACACACCTGATAGCTAAACATAGGCAGCATGTGCACACACACCTCTCATAGCTTAACAGGGCAGCATGTGCACACACACACCTCTCATAGCTTAACAGGGCAGCATGTGCACACACACACACCTCTCATAGCTAAACATGGGCAGCATGTGCACACACACACACCTCTCATAGCTAAACATGGGCAGCATGTGCACACACACACACCTCTCATAGCTAAACATGGGCAACAAGTGCACACCCATCTATCATAGCTAAACATGGGCAGCATGTGTACACACACACACCTCATAGCTAAACATGGGCAGCATGTGTACACACACACACCTCATAGCTAAACATGGGCAGCATGTGTACACACACACACACCTCATAGCTAAACATGGGCAGCATATGTACACACACCTCATAGCTAAACATGGGCAGCATATGTACACACACACACACCTCATAGCTAAACATGGGCAGCATGTGTACACACACACACCTCATAGCTAAACATGGGCAGCATGTGTACACACACACACACACCTCATAGCTAAACATGGGCAGCATGTGTACACACACACACACCTCATAGCTAAACATGGGCAGCATGTGTACACACACACACACCTCATAGCTAAACATGGGCAGCATGTGTACACACACACACACCTCATAGCTAAACATGGGCAGCATGTGTACACACACACACTTCATAGCTAAACATGGGCAGCATGTGTACACACACACACACCTCATAGCTAAACATGGGCAGCATGTGTACACACACACACACCTCATAGCTAAACATGGGCAGCATGTGTACACACACACACACCTCATAGCTAAACATGGGGCAGCATGTGTACACACACACACACACCTCATAGCTAAACATGGGCAGCATGTACACACACACACCTCATACACACAGCATGTGTACACACACACTCTCATAGCTAAACATGGCAGCATGTGTACACACACACACACCTCATAGCTAAACATGGGCAGCATGTGTAACACACACACACCTCATCATAGCTAAACATGGGCAGCATGTGCTAAACACACACACACACACCTCATAGCTAAACATGGGCAGCATGTGTACACACACACACACCTCATAGCTAAACATGGGCAGCATGTGTACACACACACACACCTCATAGCTAAACATGGGCAGCATGTGTACACACACACCTCATAGCTAAACATGGGCAGCATGTGTACACACACACACCTCATAGCTAAACATGGGCAGCATGTGTACACACACACACCTCATAGCTAAACATGGGCAGCATGTGTACACACACACACACCTCATAGCTAAACATGGGCAGCATGTGTACACACACACACACACCTCATAGCTAAACATGGACAGCATGTGTACACACACACACACACCTCATAGCTAAACATGGGCATCATATGTACACACACACACACACCTCATAGCTAAACATGGGCAGCATGTGTACACACACACACCTCATAGCTAAACATGGGCAGCATGTGTACACACACACACACACCTCATAGCTAAACATGGGCAGCATGTGTACACACACACCTCATAGCTAAACATGGGCAGCATATGTACACACACACCTCATAGCTAAACATGGGCAGCATATGTACACACACCTCATAGCTAAACATGGGCAGCATGTGTACACACACACCTCATAGCTAAACATGGGCAGCATATGTACACACACACCTCATAGCTAAACATGGGCAGCATGTGTACACACACACACACCTCATAGCTAAACATGGGCAGCATGTGTACACACACACACACCTCATAGCTAAACATGGGCAGCATGTGTACACACACACCTCATAGCTAAACATGGGCAGCATGTACACACACACCTCATAGCTAAACATGGGCAGCATATGTACACACACACCTCATAGCTAAACATGGGCAGCATGTGTACACACACACCTCATAGCTAAACATGGGCAGCATGTGTACACACACACCTCATAGCTAAACATGGGCAGCATATGTACACACACACCTCATAGCTAAACATGGGCAGCATGTGTACACACACACCTCATAGCTAAACATGGGCAGCATGTGTACACACACACCTCATAGCTAAACATGGGCAGCATGTGTACACACACGCACACCTCATAGCTAAACATGGGCAGCATGTGTACACACACACACACACCTCATAGCTAAACATAAGCAATATGTGCACACTGAGAATTTATGAAGTCAAAATAAATGACAGGGGACTGGACACCTGGTCATCTCAGATTTAAAAAAAAAGGTTGGGGTGGGTGAGTGGGGGTGGTTTACAAAGTATTGCAGTGGCATAAGACAAGACTACTTGTACAAGCAGCACTCAGTTGGTCATGTGGTCAGCATCATGCTCAGGTTCCATTTAAAAAAAAAACAAAAAACTGGAAGGTAACTAAGACACTTAAAACGTCAGTTACTAACATTTTATTATACAAATTTAAACACAGAATTGTAAAGAATCCAAATAATGTGTAGTCAATAAACAACATGTGTACATATGCATTAAATTTAAAACAGCAGAAAGACTTTTGGGACAAGTCACAGACACTAGGGAGAAAACAGCTGTACCTGTTCTTCAAGATGGGTGTCAGCCTGGGCAGCAAGTCTTTGATGGGCGGGGTCATCTTGCTCATGCCAATCACATTGACAATGCCCTTGAGAGCACCCAGGATAGAACCCAGCACTTCTGGATACTCCTCTCCCAGGTACTCATACAGCACAATACCTAAATGTCCCATGAGTTTCTCCTGAGAAGAAAATTTGCACATGATGTTAGTCTCAAACAGAAATATAACACTTCTGCACACCTTATGACCCTCAACCGAATGTACCCACTTGGGTGCCACAACTGTACTTCTGCGCACCTCACGATCCTCAACAGAATGTCCCGACTTGGGTGTCACAACTGTACTTCTGCGCACCTCATGACCCTTAACAGAATGTCCCGACTTGGGTGTCACAACTGTACTTCTGCGCACCTCACGACCCTCAACAGAATGTCCCGACTTGGGTGCCACAACTGTACTTCTGCACACCTCATGATCCTCAACAGAATGTTCCGACTTGGGTGCCACAACTGTACTTCTGCACACCTCATGATCCTCAACAGAATGTCCCGACTTGGGTGTCACAACTGTACTTCTGCACACCTCATGATCCTCAACAGAATGTCCCGACTTGGGTGTCACAACTGTACTTCTGCGCACCTCACGACCCTCTACAGAATGTCCCGACTTGGGTGTCACAACTGTACTTCTGCGCACCTCACGACCCTCTACAGAATGTCCGGACTTGGGTGCCACAACTGTACTTCTGCACACCTCACGACCCTCAACAGAATGTCCCGACTTGGTAGCCACAACTGTGCTTCTACACACCTCATGATCCTCAATAGAATGTCCTGACTTGGTGGCCACAACTGTGCTTCTACACACCTCATGATCTTCAACAGAATGTCCCGACTTGGGTGCCACAACTGTACTTCTGCACACCTCACGACCCTCAATAGAATGTCCCGACTTGGGTGCCACAACTGTACTTCTGCACACCTTATGATCCTCAACAGAATGTCCCGACTTGGTGGCCACAACTGTGCTTCTACACACCTCATGATCTTCAACAGAATGTCCCGACTTGGTGGCCACAACTGTGCTTCTGTACACCTTATGACCCTGAACAGAATGTCCCCACTTGTGCACACCTTTTCTAGACCATAAACAGAAAAAATTCAGAATCTTTCCCGATTTCTTCCATTCCATACTAAATCTTTATCATTGTTGTTTGTTCCAGTTTTTCTCCTTATGTCCCTCAAATATGTTTGTCCAAGCTGTTTTGAGGTCTTAGCCTGCATGCACGTGTGCCTGTTTGTAAATATTTCTTCCCAAAACAATACATGTGGTTTCCCATATTTATTAAACATCCCCAAAACACAGAAATTTCATGTACAGACATAATCACGAAGAAAACTGCCCACATCAGGAGAAAACCGGAGGGCTGTAGATCATGACGGTAGGAAAGTTGGAGGAGGGCTGTAGATCATGATGGTGGGAAAGTTGGAGGAGGGCTGTAGATCATGATGGTAGGAAAGTTGGAGGAGGGCTGTAGATCATGACGGTGAGAAAGTTGGAGGAGGGCTGTAGATCATGACGGTAGGAAAGTTGAAGTAGGGCTGTAGATCATGATGGTGAGAAAGTTGGAGGAGGGCTGTAGATCATGATAGTGAGAAAGTTGGAGGAGGGCTGTAGATCATGATGGTGAGAAAGTTGGAGGAGGGCTGTAGATCATGATGGTGGGAATGTTGGAGGAGGGCTGTAGATCATGATGGTGGGAAAGTTGGAGGAGGGCTGTAGATCATGATGGTGGGAAAGTTGGAGGGTAGGAAAGTTGGAGGAGGGCTGTAGATCATGACGGTAGGAAAGTTGGAGGAGGGCTGTAGATCATGATGGTAGGAAAGTTGGAGGAGGGCTGTAGATCATGATGGTGGGAATGTTGGAGGAGGGCTGTAGATCATGATGGTAGGAAAGTTGGAGGAGGGCTGTAGATCATGATGGTGAGAAAGTTGGAGGAGGGCTGTAGATCATGATGGTAGGAAAGTTGGAGGAGGGCTGTAGATCATGATGGTAGGAAAGTTGGAGGAGGGCTGTAGATCATGACGGTGAGAAAGTTGGAGGAGGGCTGTAGATCATGACGGTGAGAAAGTTGGAGGAGGGCTGTAGATCATGATGGTGAGAAAGTTGGAGGAGGGCTGTAGATCATGATGGTGGGAAAGTTGGAAGAGGAAAGAGACAGAGGGAGAACTAGAGAAAAGATGTTGGACAGCCTAACATCATGGCATGGAAGATCGTCTATGTTAGAACTCCCAAAAAAAGTATATGAGACAGAAGGTTTGAGATGGACATGACCACCAACGTCACATGGCATGGAAGATCGTCTATGTTAGAACTGATCAAAAGTATATGAGACAGAAGGTATGAGATAGACATGACTACCAACGTCTCATGGCATGGACTATAAGGAGTAGATGTTCTCACATTAAAGAGAAATATACCTCAGACTGTCAGGCAAACAGAAACATGACAGTGGTAAGCAATACCACTCTCATAGTGTGTGTGTGTGTGTGTGGGAGGGTGGGGTGGCAGTGTGTGTGTGTGTGAGAATAAAAGAGAGAGAGGGGGGGGGGGGGGGAGAAAGAGTAAGAAATAAACACAAAACTCACCTCCTGGCAAGTTTTCATGACGATGGCAATGCGAGAAATGAGGTCAGCTGCTTGCTGTCTGACCTTGGCCGACTTGTTGTTAAGACGCCACAGGATGGTACCACACATCTGAGGCAGGTAGGGCTTGACTCTCTTACTCAAAGCATTGACAACAGTGCCAAACCCATTCAACATCACCACATCCTGCAAAGGGGGACAACAATCAGCTTGTCATTAACTTCCCTCTAGCCACTTCTACAACTCTAGCATAACAATACAGTATCCAAGACATAGCATAACGCCACAGTATCCAAGACATAGCATAACGCCACAGTATCCAAGACATGGCATAACACCACAGTATCCAAGACATAGCATAACGCCACAGTATCCAAGACATAGCATTACACTACAGTATCCAAAACATAGCAAAGGGAGACAACAATCAGCTTGTAATTAACTCTCCTTTAGCCAATTTTACACCTCTAGCATAACACCACAGTATCCAAGACATGGCATAACACCACAGTATCCAAGACATAGCATAACACCACAGTATCCAAGACATAGCATTACACTACAGTATCCAAAACATAGCAAAGGGAGACAACAATCAGCTTGTAATTAACTCTCCTTTAGCCAATTTTACACCTCTAGCATAACACCACAGTATCCAAGACATGGCATAACACCACTGTATTCAAGACATGGCATAACACCACCGTATTCAAGACATGGCATAACACCACCGTATTCAAGACATGGCATAACACCACAGTATCAAAGACACGGTATAACACCACAGTATCCAAGACATAGCATAACACCACAGTATCCAAGACAATGCTATTATTGCTTTTCGTCCCTCTTAGGACGTTATTTTTTGTTATTTGAAGCCCCACTCTGGCTTTTGCCAGGGGCCGCAATATAGGCAGGTCATCATTATGGCCAAATGTCTGAACGCGGTTTCTGGGACCTCTCCACGGTGATCCTCATCCGCATGGTGGCACTTTGTGTCATCGGGTGTTTATCGCTTGTGTGATGTCCTGGTGGGGTAAAAAATCCAATCCAATCCAATCCAAGACATAGCATAACACTACAGTATCCAAGACATAGAATAACACCACAGTTTTCAAGACATGGCATAACACTACAGTATCCAAGACACAGCATAACACTACAGTATCCAAGACATAGCATAACACCACAGTTTCCAAGACACAGCGTAACACCACAGTTTCCAAGACACAGCGTAACACCACAGTATCCAAGACACAGCATAACACCACAGTATCCAAGACATAGAATAACACCACAGTATCCAAGACATGGCAAAGAAACTGATGTAATCATCTGGCTTGTATGTTTATCTTCAGGTCCGGTCCACTAGCCTTCTGCGTTTAAATCTTCCCTGAAGTGAGGCTTTTTAAAACATACCCTTCTGAAGTACTTAGTGAAAGCAGTCTAAACTGGGTGTGAGGAAATGCTCAAAGAAATTAAAAAGTGACTGGTGTGTAACACCAGCTACATCCAACACCAAGCTCTCTCTCTTGTCTATACAGTTAGTGGATTACCATCACTTACCCAAAGTACAAGGTGGGGGGGGGGGGGGGGGGGGAGAGAATACAAGGAAAAACTATCGGGGGACTAAACACACCGAGTTCACGATGGATAGTGCTGCTTACCAACAAGACCCTCTTGTGCCAAGTCCTGTATAGGTTTTGTAAGAGGGTGACTATCTGACATCAATGAAACTGTAGACACTGATAGAGCAGTCACATTCCCACTGCTTCTAGTGATCCTTTTGTACTGACCCAACAAAAGTTAGGCTGCTGTTAATGACAGCATCAATGAGCCGGGGACTCACTGACCCTGGCAATCTGAAAGCAAGGAAAGACATCACATATCCCCAGAAACTAAACTGAAGCAACAGTTTATGGAAAATGAGATAGATGTACTAAACCTCTCTCTAACAACCCAAGAAATCAAGACTATTAGCTCTAGCAACTGACCTCAGTTGTCTGCTCCTGGAAAGCATACAAGATGCCGTCAATAAGCTGCTCCTCCAGGCGGGAGTCGATGTCTGAAGCTCCCAGGTTAGACATGATCTTCTCAATGGTCTCCATCACCATCTTACGGTACTGCTCAGCCTCATCCTTGAGGTCATCAACAACTCTGCCAACAATCTCAGCGGCTCCAACCTTGTTGGCAATCTCCACTGTAGTATCCACTAGCTGCAGAAGACATAGAGAGAGAGGCATATAGCATGCAGATGTTCAGATGAAAAACAATAAAGATGAGAGGATGTTTCTAGTGGCAATCACCAATGTTGTATCCACTAGCTGGAGAAGACATAGAGAGAAGCATATAGCATGCAGATGTTCAGATAAAAAATGATAAAGATGAGAGGATGTTTCTAGTGGCAATCACCAATGATTCTGAAATCATGAACCAGATACCACAGTCGCAAAAACAAACCTGATACCTTCAGAGCATGAGCAGACATTCAGCCCACTTCCCTATCAATCATGTCCTGATCTGACAGAAAATAAATAATTTGGTCAGGCAAAAAATCGACACACATAATAACCATAACTGTCACTTCAAGTATGGAAATTATAAAGACTCAACATAAGAGACATGCAGCATGTGGAAGACCAACTGGTGAGGTTGAAACATGAATCACAATAATTATTCTAGTCTTCAATGAATATTACAGCAACCTTCTGTGTTATAATTAATTTACAAATCCTTTGAGGTAAATGAAGCCATATAATTATTGCAAGCAATGGTAAACTTCTGGTTGTAAAAACTGCACAGAGACCAGTCTGTGCTGGAAATGGTGTCTGCAGCTTTAAGTTGTTCCCATGCAGGACATTCCATCATCAATTTAGCTACTTTATTATCAGTTCCGGATCATCTGTCAGTAGACCTTATCTCCGAACTAAGATGCTGCGTGGTCTCGAGGCATGGCGTCCACCTCACATGCTTGATGTCCTAGGTTCAGGCCTTGGTGATGGCATGGATTTTTTTACGTGGACTTGTTTAAACCTAAACCAAAACTAATCTGAACAATGACAATTCAACAGCCATGTTAACACAGTCTGAAATCCCCTAATTCCTAGTTCTTGTCTGCTTGTTAAGATAGTTCCTAGACATTAATGTAACAACAGTTGTCAATAAGCTGTCCCTCCGCTCGACCGTCTGCTGTTAGAAATGTGACATCACCATGGAAACATAGAAACGCAACATAAATGGTCTTGGAAACTCTACACAGCAGACCTCTAATGCTGAAACTCCACACAGCAGACCTCTAATGCTGAAACTCCACATAGCAGACCTCTAATGCTGAAACTCCACACAGCAGACCTCTAATGCTGAAACTCTACACAGCAGACCTCTAATGCTGAAACTCCACACAGCAGACCTCTAATGCTGAAACTCCACATAGCAGACCTCTAATGCTGAAACTCCACACAGCAGACCTTTAATGCTGAAACTCCACACAGCAGACCTTTAATGCTGAAACTCCACACAGCAGACCTTTAATGCTGAACACCCAGCAGACCTCTAATGCTGAACTCCACACAGCAGACCTCTAATGCTGAACTCCACACAGCGGACCTTTAATGCTGAACTCCACACAGCAGACCTTTAATGCTGAACACCCAGCAGACCTCTAATGCTGAACTCCACACAGCAGACCCCTAATGCTGAACTCCACACAGCAGACCTCTAATGCTTAACTCCACACAGCAGACCCCTAATGCTGAACTCCACACAGCAGACCTCTAATGCTGAACTCCACACAGCAGACCTCTAATGCTGAACTCCACACAGCAGACCTCTAATGCTGAACTCCACACAGCGGACCTCTAATGCTGAACTCCACACAGCGGTCCTCTAATGCTGAACTTCACACAGCGGACCTCTAATGCTGAACTCCACACAGCAGACCTCTAATGCTGAACTCCACACAGCGGACCTTTAATGCTGAACACCCAGCAGACCTCTAATGCTGAACTCCACACAGCAGACCTCTAATGCTGAACTCCACACAGCAGACCTCTAATGTTGAACTCCACACAGCAGACCTTTAATGCTGAACACCCAGCAGACCTCTAATGCTGAACTTCACACAGCGGACCTCTAATGCTGAACTCCACACAGCGGACCTCTAATGCTGAACTCCACACAGCGGACCTCTAATGCTGAACTCCACACAGCGGACCTCTAACACTGAAACTCCACACAGTGGACCTCTAACACTGAAACTCCACACAGCGGATCATTTTGTGATCTAATACACTTACAAAACACAGGAGTCCAGACAACAGACAAGTCTCATACATTCTTAGATACGCTGTGTGTGATGACCCTGCTTTGCATGGTCTCCACGAGTACATTGTGGCAAGCAGGAAGTCCGTGCTACAAGTGACGGCACGAGATACTTGTGGCCGGTGGAGTAAGCGAGGCGAAGCCCGAGCTAGCCTCGTGGGCAGTCGATCATCAGAAGTCAGTGAAGACGGTTGTAGTAATTGAAGATGTAGTTTTTATGTTGTGAATAGTTAGTGTTTGAATATGTCGCGAGTGAAATAAATGTGAAATAAATGGACCAGAATAAACTGACAGAATGTACAATGAAGCTGAGCGGCGTTTGTGTTGTCAACCCTAGACGTTAAAGTCGGTGTAAGCCAAGGTACATTTCAAGATAGGTGAAAGCGTAACTTCAAGTCTACGTCTTGACTAATTTCAAGTTTACGTTTTGGTACATTTCAGCCCACATGACCCAACACATCAGTGGTCCTTGTACTCATGACAGGAAATAAAATGGAATTCCTTGCACACGAGATGTTTCCTGAGCATCCCATGGAAGGACTACAGCAGCAACAAAAGTGTTTACAAGAGCAGACAGCACCACAGTGAACTCCCTCTGGAAGTAGAAATGATGTCTTTGGTGGCAGAGCCATGTATACTGAGTGCAGGATAGTTGTATTTGCAAACATCTCCCTTATGCAGAACTAGCCCCAGTGAAGAGGCCAACCAGAAGACCCCAGCAGCAACAAAATATGATGATATCTTCTTCTTCTTAGTGTTAACCAGTTATAAACTCTAGTGGAAAGTCCTGGTTGTTCATCCACTTCTGGACTTTAGTAATGTTCCGTGGTTTTGCATGCGCACCCTGTTTAAAGATCTGGCTTCCTTGTATACAGACTGCTGGGTCTTCCCCTCCCAGGCAGATGCAGACCAACTTCGAAGGAAACCCCTGATTAGTCAACTCTTATGAGATGCTTGTTAGGGAGATAGTGGGTCTATTCTAGTTTTTCCTCCACAGCAGGACACTGGAACCCAAATGGGGAGTAAACAAGATATAAAAAGGGGACCAGTTGCAGCAAACAGCTGGAAAAAAGATGTGCCACACAGGCTCTCTGAGCACAATCTGATCCAACAAACTCAGGATAAGAGACATGCAGTCACTTGCTGAGGGACCCACCTCATTTTACAGATGTGGAAACTGCGACAGAGTCTGTCGCTCTCAGACAGGACCATCTAGTCACCAGGTGCCTGTCCTCAGGTGGCACAATTCTACAGCCTTGCAGGACTGAGAACAGGCCTACTATATCCTACAACCAGTGAAAATACCCCACAAAATGTGTTTAGGTAAACAGGATATTTACAGAGCTCACTGAGTCAAGGCAGAGTGATGTGATAGTAAGCCACTATTCTGCTAGATTAAGACAGCAGAAACTGACCTGTCTGTAGTTGCGTCTATCCAGTGCCATTCGCTGGTTCCAGAAGTTCTTGAAGAATGGAGGCAAAATCTCATCTTTGATATACTGTGATTCCACACCATCTGTGGCACAACACTGTTTCACCACCTGTGAGAGAGGGGATACAGCATTGTTATATATGTGTACTATCTAGCCAATCACCTGTGAAAGAGTGGATACAGCATTGTTATATCTGTGTATTATCTAGCCAATCAACTGTGAGAGAAAGGATACAGTATTGTTATATCTGTGTACTATCTAGCCAATCACCTGTGAGAGAGGAGATACAGCATTGTTATATTTGTGTACTATCTAGTCAATCACCTGTGAGAGAAAGGATACAGCATTGTTATATTTGTGTACTATCTACAATCACCTGTGAGAGAGGGGTTACAGCATTGTTATATTTGTGTACTATCTAGCCAATCACCTGTGAGAGAAAGAATACAGAATTGTTATATTTGTGTACTATCTAGCCAATCACCTATGCGAGAGGGGATACAGCATTGTTATATTTGTGTACTATATAGCCAATCACCTGTGGGAGAAGAGATGTAGCTATATTTGCATACTTCTCTGATACTAACCTCAGACATGAAGGTTTTAGGTTCAAATCCACACTGACATTAGCTTCCTTGTCGACCCAGCCTCAAATGGGTACCAGGTAAAGACCTGGGATGGGAAGGCAGCGGGTGTGATCTGACCACATCAGGCACAGAGTGCCCACTGGTCTATAAACATTCAGGTCTAGCACAATAGACCCAATTAGCATGAAAAAGGTTTCATCCAAGTGATGTCACCCAAAACTGGGCTCTGGTATCCAAGTGGAAAAAATCTATATACTATATTACTCCCAGGCTATTTAAAGCAGGTACATGGAAGAGAAGAAACACAAACCAGCATCAATATCAAGTGCCTTGCCAACTAGCTTTGGTCATTTTGCTTCACACCCTGTGATCTCCTTTAGTCTGAACCAACCAGGCAATGATACCTTTGCATACTATGACAAAAAAGTCTGTCCTTTTCTCTCCATAAATATCTTCAGATGTTCTAGATTTAAATATGTTCTCACAATATAGCCATACTGAAAACCTCTATTCTGATATCAGTGCCTCAGCATCTGTCAAAACCTTTACTGAGAAGAATCATCTTGGCTGTTGGGGGAAAAAAAATGATAATTCTTCTACACTGCCATTTCTAGGGCCTCACAGATATTTGCCTTCTTGACCACATTCTCATACAACAGTGAATAGAGCAGTAAGCTAATTCTCACCTTTAAGACAATTTTCTTCATTTCTTCGTCAGGAGAGGGGAACTCACGAATAAGAATCAGCATGACTTCCCTTGTGTAGTAATTAGCATACTCAGCATCCATCAGCGGAATCAGGTAGCCAATGGCTTTCAAGAAGGCAGCCAAACCCTGTGAAAATATTTCACTCAATCTAGATCAGTCAAGTACATGTGTTCTATATGCTATGTACATCTGACATTTCTGTATACTGTGAGTAGTATATATAATTTCACTAATTACATACACAATCACCACACAAACACAATCACCACACAAACACAATCACTATACAAACAATCACCACACAAACACAATCACCACACAAACACAAGCACCACACAAACACAAGCACCACACAAACACAATCACTAAAAGAACTGGTGGCAGTAACCAAGGAGATATACCAGTTAGGCAGAGATTTATTATTTACCATTTAGCCTTTACATGGCATGAGGTGAATATTAACTTTCCTGGCCACTATTCTCAAAGTCAAAGTTATGCACTTGTTTTATGAATGATGATACACCTGCCACCCTTGCCAGAAGAACGACACAAGCAAATTTCTGAGCTAACCAGACAATAATACACCAACACAAATGAGTGAGCTAACCAGCCAATAATACACCAACACAAATGAGTGAGCTAACCAGACAATAATACACCAACACAAATGAGTGAGCTAACCAGACAATAATACACCAACACAAATGAGTGAGCTAACCAGACAATAATACACCAACACAAATAAATGAGCTAACCAGCTAAAAATACACCAACACAAATGAGTGAGCTAGCCAGCCAATAATACACCAACACAAATGAGTGAGCTAACCAGACAAAAATACACCAACACAAATGAGTGAGCTAACCAGACAATAATACACTAACACAAATGAGTGAGCTAACCAGCTAAAAATACACCAACACAAATGAGTGAGCTAGCCAGCCAATAATACACCAACACAAATGAGTGAGCTAACCAGACAAAAATACACCAACACAAATGAGTGAGTTAACCAGCCAATAATACACCAACACAAATGAGTGAGCTAACCAGCCAATAATACACCAACACAAATGAGTGAGCTAACCAGCCAATAATACACCAACACAAATGAGTGAGCTAACCAGACAATAATACACCAACACAAATGAGTGAGTTAACCAGCCAATAATACACCAACACAAATGAGTGAGCTAACCAGACAATAATACACCAACACAAATGAGTGAGCTAACCAGCCAATAATACACCAACACAAATGAGTGAGCTAGCCAGCCAATAATACACCAACACAAATGAGTGAGCTAGCCAGTCAATAATACACCAACACAAATGAGTGAGTTAACCAGCGAATAATACATCAACACAAATGAGTGAGCTAGCCAGCCAATAATACACCAACACAAATGAGAATCACTGTCAACAGTTACAACTTCTCTGCCTGGCTGGTAAATTAACAAGAATAAATTAGGGAGAACAAATTCCCTCCCTCCTTACATACTCTTTCTTGTCTAGTTCAACATACCCTTTCCTCTCTAAACTTTTCTAATTTGAAATCTTCCCAGAGCAGACATTTATAAATGTCTCAACATTTCACTAGCACCCCTAACTACAACACTCAGATAAGCCGCATGTATTGCACCTTTGACTGTATTTTTTCTCTCTTCTATTTTAGAAGTTAATCTGTCTTGAATGTGTGGAGTGAATACAGCTTTCACCCTCTGGACCGCATATGTCTGACTTTTGTGACTACAACATGCAAATGTAACTGTCCAATTTTCTCCTGGAATAATCAAGCTACTAGTGGTCTGAAACTGCTCTGTAAAACTGCAAGATGCTGCCACCAAATGAAACAAAATGACCAAACAGTATTTTCTGTTGTCATGACTTTTTCTGATGCTAGCCATACAAACGTCTAGCCAACTCACCTTGCCTCTGTGTTGACGGATACCCTTCCAGAGGGGCTTGAGAACACTGTCAAAAGACTCAATGCCGTATGGAGTGGCAGCTTCTGCTAGTGCAGCCAAGGCCAGGGCAGTGATGGTTCTCACCTTCTGCTGCTCATCCACCAACCCTGTGTGTCAGTTACAGTCGAATTTTAATACATCAATTTATTTTATATACAAGAACAGCAAATATATAAACATACAACTGTCAGTACTGCCTTATATGTCAGTTACAATGGCAGCTCACTTCAGATGTCTCTTTGCAAACAACACAGACAACAGACAATGTATACTTTTGTTGTTGTTGTCCTATGGTGACTAGAGTGCCCAAATCTGTCTTCATTCCAGTTATCAGACACAGGGTAGCAACACGAACGGCATGACACACCGCAGGTACCTCTATCAGTTGTGGTACTCTGGGGCAGCTGCTGTTTCAGATCACTGAGCATGCAGCGGTCAATTGTGATAACACAACATGGCCCAGATAACACAATACAGCCAGATAACACATCACAACCAGATGACCCAACACAACCAGATGACCCAACACAACCAGATGACCCAACACAACCAGATGACCCAACACAACCAGATGACCCAACACAACCAGATGACCCAACACAACCAGATGACCCAACACAACCAGATGACCCAACACAACCAGATGACCCAACACAACCAGATGACCCAACACAACCAGATGACCCAACACAACCAGATGACCCAACACAACCAGATGACCCAACACAACCAGATGACCCAACACAACCAGATGACCCAACACAACCAGATGACACAACACAACCAGATGACCCAACACAACCAGATGACCCAACACAACCAGATGACACAACACAACCAGATGACACAACACAACCAGATGAGTACATACCATGTTCGATAATCTCCACCAAGCTCTTGAGATGAGGCAGGATGGCACAGCCCATGAGAATAGAGATCTGCTGGACAATCTTGATGCCTGTGTGCCTGGCCTGCCAGGACTTCTTGCTCTTGCAGACGGCCTTTAAGAAGGGCAGCAGGGATGGGATGCCCAAGGCTGAGGCTACCACAGCAAAAGCACGAGCGGTGGTGTTACGGACATACTCGTCCATGTTGTCAATGTCTGGACGCATGGTGGCAATCATGGTAGCAAGACCTGCAGCCTGAACAGAGAAGACACAAACATTTAAGCAAAAACAGTAGCCATTTCCCAATCATCCACCATACAGTAGCCATGTCTCAATCATCCACCATACAGTAGCCATTTCCCAATCATCCACCATACAGTAGCCATGTCTCAATCATCCACCATACAGTAGCCATGTCCCAATCATCCACCATACAGTAGCCATGTCTCAATCATCCACCATACAGTAGCCATGTCTCAATCATCCACCTTACAGTAGCCATGTCTCAAACATCCACCATACAGTAGCCATGTCTCAATCATCCACCATACAGTAGCAATGTCTCAATCATCCACCATACAGTAGCAATGTCTCAATCATCCACCATACAGTAGCAATGTCTCAATCATCCACCATACAGTAGCAATGTCTCAATCATCCACCATACAGTAGCCATGTCTCAATCATCCACCATACAGTAGCCTTTTCTCAATCATCCACCATACAGTAGCCATGTCTCAATCATCCACCATACAGTAGCCTTTTCTCAATCATCCACCATACAGTAGCCATGTCTCAATCATCCACCATACAGTAGCCATGTCTCAATCATCTACCATACAGTAGCCATGTCTCAATCATCCACCATAGAGTAGCCATGTCTCAATCATCCACCATACAGTAGCCATGTCCCAATCATCCACCATACAGTAGCCATGACTCAATCATCCACCATAGAGTAGCCATGCCTCAATCATCCACCATACAGTAGCCATGTCTCAATCATCCACCATAGAGTAGCCATGTCTCAATCATCCACCATACAGTAGCCATGTCTCAATCATCCACCATAGAGTAGCTATGTCTCAATCATCCACCATACAGTAGCCATGTCTCAATCATCCACCATACAGTAGCCATGTCTCAATCATCCTCCATACAGTAGCCATGTCTCAATCATCCACCATAGAGTAGCCATGTCTCAATCATCCACCATAGACTAGCCATGTCTCAATCATCCACCATAGAGTAGCCATGTCTCAATCATCCACCATACAGTAGCCATGTCTCAATCATCCACCTTACAGTAGCCATGTCTCAATCATTCACCATAGAGTAACCATGTCTCAATCATCCACCATAGAGTAGCCATTTCTCAATCATCCACCATACAGTAGCCATGTCTCAATCATCCACCATACAGCCTAATATTTGTTCTCTGTGTGGGTTCCGGCGCCCTAGTGTGGGGAAATGAACAAACGAGCAAACTTTTTTTTTCAAAAGGCTACAAATTATGCACACAGACCCGTCTTACATTTAGCTCTTTCAAGCACTCAGGGAAAAGAAGAACACACAAAGTGCCTCCCCAACAAGCATGTCATAACAGTCAACAAACTGGGAGCTTCCTTTAAAGTTGGAGTGCACATCTTACAACTCTTAATAGACACACACCTGCCATGTGCATATCTTACAACTCTGGATAGACACACACCTGCCATGTGCATGTCTTACAACTCTGGATAGACAAACAACTATCATGTGCATGTCTTACAACTCTGGATAGACACACAACTATCATGTGCATATCTTACAAATCTGATTAGACACACAACTATCATGTGCATATCTTACATTTCTGGATAGACGCACACCTATCATGTGCATGTCTTACAACTTTGAGGATAGGCAGACACCTACTACATGCATGTCTTACAAATCTGAGGATATTCTTGCATAATTTAGTGAACAGACCTACTATATGTGACGAGATTACCAGTTCATACAATTTTAGAATATTAAGAATGGAATATAATTTTCCTTTGTTTAAATTACCATTTTTAAAAATGAAATACACATACAATAAAGATGGAATAGAAAAGAAATAAACTTGAAGTATACTTTCTCAAACATAATCACCAAAGATCACTTCTGCCAAGTTAGAGAACATTCCTACCCCCCTGTAAACTAAAGTGAAATAATGACTAAGTTTACCTTTGCCAAGTTGGAGATAATTTCTCGCCCTTCCACTCTGGCATAGTAGTCTTCATCAATCAACAGTGGTTCAATAACGACCAAGATCTTGTGTACATAGGGTCGCACCAGGTCGTCCAGCTTGTAGAGAATCCTGTCAATGACCTTGACCAAGAGATGCCTCTCCTGGTCCTCCAGTGTGGGTGACATCAGCAGTGGAAGGATCTGGTTAAACAGAGGTCCTGCTCCAAACTCACGAGCCTTGTCCGTGATCTGTCGCAGAGCAGCCTGGCAAAAGTCAAGCAGGAACAATGAAAGAAATGTAAATCCTCGACTGTTGTCGACTGAAATGATAAACTAAAACTCATCTGAAAGTATACACTGCCCACTTAAAATAGCAATGACACAACTAGAAACCTGAAGCTACTGGCATTATTCCCCAAGACACTTCTACAGACTTTTATGTGAACCAGATCAATTAAAACTATTCCCTGCAAACTGAAACTTCAAGGAGACAATTCCACTTTCAGTTCTGTCTTGAATCTGCTTATTCTCAAGAAGCACAACTGCTTAGCTCCCCCCTCCCCCAATTGTCACTGAATCTCTTCAGCCAAGATAAGAATCACTCTCTCTTTCAGGTTCCCATTTTTAATGGATGTATTTCTGCTGGCAGATTGTAATGATACGGTGATGTCTGTGGTAATGATACAGTGATGCCTGTGGTAATTATAGTGTTGCCTGTAGTAATGATCCAGTGATGTCTGTGGTAATGATCCAGTGATGTCTGTGGTAATGATCCAGTGATGTCTGTGGTAATGATCCTGTGATGTCTGTGGTAATGATACAGTGTTGTCTGTGGTAATGATACAGTGTTGTCTCTGTAGTAATGATACAGTAATGTCTGTGCTTGACTAAGCTGTTATACTGAGTAAATATCCTACCTTTCTCATTGGTGGCGTTCCATTCTTGATTTTCAGAAGCAACTTCATGATCTTCCTGTCTTTCTGTTCTTCTGGGGATAGCGTGTCCTCATCTACATCCACCTGTAAAATATGTTACATGGGTTACACCAACAGTTACTTGGGTTACAATGATAGTTAAATGGGTTAGAACGACAGTTCCTTGGGTTAGAATAATAGTTACATGGCTTAGAATGACAGTTCCTTGAATTACAATGATAGGTGGGTCAGAATAAAAGTTATTATGCTCGGCAATGATAGTTACATGTGTCAGAGTGACAGTTACTTAGGTTGCAATAATAGTTACATGGCTTAGAATGACAGTTCTCTGGGTTACAAAGATAGTTGCAATGGTTAGAAAAATTAGAGAGATGAGAAGAATGAGTAACTTGGGTTACAGTGATCGCCACATGGGTTAGAAAGGTTACATACAACAGAATGAGTTACTTGGGTTATAATTATAGTTAGGTGGGTTAGAATGACAAATTACATGAGATAGGATGAAGGTTATAAGAGATACAATGATAGTTATGTGGATCAGAATGACAGTAATGTGGGATAGAATGACAAATTACATGAGATAGGGTGAAGGTTAAAAGGGATACAATGATAGTTATGTGGTTCAGAATGACAGTAACATGGGACAGAATTATAGGTGTAAGGTTAGAACGACACTTGCAAGTGTAGAACTCCTGAGATGTGCAGTGAGTATGTAAGGATGTTTGGAAAGGCCAGGATAAACAGTATCTCCCAACCAAGATGAATGTTGTATGTTTATAGTCACAGAGTTCAAAATCTGCAGCAAAAAGTCTGAGACAGCTCAACATTTCTGTTGCAAGGGCCCTAACCTCACAGTTTCAATTGTGACCACTGTAACACGGGAGCAGCCTATGGACATTGTGTATCAAACAAACAAGAATGATGTTATGACTAGTTAGTGTCATGTACCTGTTAAAAATAAAAACAGAACCGTGCTGACTTGCCAGATAATTTGATCACTACTGTTCCAGTATAAGACGAATCATCATCACCAGGTAGCAGACAAGATCTCTGGAACAGGGCTGGGATACTCGTGAACAGGGCTGGGATACTCATGTACAGGGCTGGGATACTCATGAACAGAGCTGGGATACTCATGAACAGGGCTGGGGTACGCATGAAGAGGGCCGAGATACTCACGAAGAGGGCTGGGGTACTCATGAAGAGGGCTGGGGTACTCATGAAGAGGGCTGGGGTACGCATGAAGAGGACTGGAGTACTCATGAAGACATCCATTTGCAACAAAATTGGTTCTTACAAACCACACAAAAACAGAACATGTGACATGCCAATGGTGTCTTCATCTCTTACCCTGTGACCTCAACCCCAGACTTCTGGAAGATTAAACTACCAGTGAACTGCAAATGCTGCAAGAAAAACACTATCCACAAATAAAATAACTGAAATCTACCCACCAGAAGTTTGTCAAAGTACTGCATGTCATCTGGCTTCATCATGGGCAGGTTGCCTTTAGGCTGCATGTCTACAATCATATCTTTGCTGCTTTTGTTGTCTGGTGTCTGCATTCGGAAACCCATGGGTGTGCCTGCGATGGGCGTTGGGGTGGCGAGCAGTTTGCGGGCAGGTGTGCGGATGGGAACATACCCAGCTGGTGGCGGCAAAACCTGCAAGCAGGTAAGAAATCAAAACAGAATTATACATAGCTTATTCAATAAATTCAAATCACTGGTGATAAGAAAAAGTATTCCTGTATGCTAAACAAAACCTATTTTAACAAATATCTGCAAAAAAGGGGCAATTAGTCAACAAATCAAACAATTTCTTAAGGGCTCAGCGATCTGGTTTTACAGAATGCTTTAATTCATAGCAGGATTAAAATGAATAATCAGTTTTGATAGAGTTGTGGGTCAGGATATAACACACACATCAGAAAGAGAAAGTCACAAAATTCTGTATGCCACGTAATGAGAAGAAGGGAACTGAAACGTGATGATGGGGAAGATTTGTGGAAGCCACCAAGAGAAGACTCTGTCATGGTGGGGGGTGCAGTACATCAACTGATGCATGCTGCTGAATACTGTAGGCTGCTGAGAGGTGTAATCAGCCATGCCAGTCAACGAGGCACTTGGTGACATTATTCTAGAGAAAGATACAAATAAATCATTCAAAATTAATTCTGGTTGTTCTCCACACTCAAACAATCTCCATTCATGTGAAACAAATGAAGATACTAAAGGAATTCAAATGAAAAAAGTGAAATCAAACAAAACAACTTTGTACTTGTTTGCTTTCCACAATCACATAACCTCATCAACCAAGAAAATACCAATATTTCACAGAACTCAAGATGTTCTCATGAACTCATAGCGGCAAAACATAAAATGCTTCAACACTGAAGCTGCATTAAAACATGTGTCAGCTATTTATTCCATACACAAAGATAGTTGTAGCAGATATCTGTGGCTGACTCATTTATTCCATACACAAGGATAGTTGTAACAGATATCTGTGGCTGACTCACCTTGTAGCCAGGTGGAAACATGCTCTCCAGGTCATCATCAGAGAGAGGCCTGTTGCGTTCGTCAATCTCTTTCTGCCAGGACCAGGCTTGGCGCTGTTCTGGGGTCATGTGCAACAAGTGACCTGGTGTAGGTGTGGCCATACCCATGGCTTTCGCACCAGTGGGGGTGACTCCACTAGGGGTCATGCTGGGTGTGCCTCCCCCTGGTGTCAGTCCTTGAGGAGTCATTCCACCAGGTGTCGCTCCAGGTGTCAGATGTCCCGGAGTCATACTTGGGGTCATAGCAGAAGGTGTGGTAGCAGGGGTCTCATCCCACCTTGACCGTCGCTTACTGGCACCTGGTGTAGGTGTGCTCTCGATCAAATCTCCACCCCGGTCTGTTTTAGGTGTTTCTGCCCAGCCACTTCCATGGCCCGGTGTTTCTGAAACAAAAATGTGGAAAACTTGAGCTCACATAAACAATTCAACTTGACATCTCACTAAATACTGTCTCTCAGTTAGCAATACAACTTGACATCTCACTAAACACTGTCTCTCAGTTAGCAATACAACTTGACATCTCACTAAATACTGTCTCTCAGTTAGCAATACAACTTGACATCTCACTAAACCCTGTCTCATAGTTAGCATTAACAATACAACTTGACATCTCACTAAATACTGTCTCTCAGTTAGCAATACAACTTGACATCTCACTAAATACTGTCTCTCAGTTAGCAATACAACTTGACATCTCACTAAATACTGTCTCTCAGTTAGCAATACAACTTGACATCTCACTAAATACTGTCTCTCAGTTAGCAATACAACTTGACATCTCACTAAATACTGTCTCTCAGTTAGCAATACAACTTGACATCTCACTAAATACTGTCTCTCAGTTAGCAATTCAACTTGAAATCTCACTAAATACTGTCTCTCAGTTAGCAATACAACTTGACATCTCACTAAATACTGTCTCTCAGTTAGCAATTCAACTTGAAATCTCACTAAATACTGTCTCTCAGTTAGCAATTCAACTTGAAATCTCACTAAATACTGTCTCTCAGTTAGCAATTCAACTTGAAATCTCACTAAATACTGTCTCTCAGTTAGCAATACAACTTGACATCTCACTAAATACTGTCTCTCAGTTAGCAATTCAACTTGAAATCTCACTAAATACTGTCTCTCAGTTAGCAATACAACTTGACATCTCACTAAATACTGTCTCTCAGTTAGCAATTCAACTTGAAATCTCACTAAATACTGTCTCTCAGTTAGCAATTCAACTTGAAATCTCACTAAATACTGTCTCTCAGTTAGCAATACAACTTGACATCTCACTAAATACTGTCTCTCAGTTAGCAATACAACTTGACATCTCACTAAATACTGTCTCTCAGTTAGCAATACAACTTGACATCTCACTAAACCCTGTCTCACAGTTAGCATTAACAATACAACTTGACATCTCACTAAATACTGTCACACAGTTCACGATAACAATATAGTTAGATATTTGACATTTAACAAACAATACAAGAAGATATCTGACTAAACATTAGCTGGTCATTCTCTCAAACAAACAAGACAACACTGACTGTTTCATCTGTTGTCCTCCCAAGAAACATGTCATGATGGAGTCAAGGGATATAAAACCAGAGCAATGGAAAAATAAGACAAATGATGAATGAGCTATCACAACTATCCGTGTCAAACATTGCAGATCTGATGAGTGACCTGTCCTTGTAGTTTTTGCCTGTGTGTCTACAATATGTAATGTTTGTTCAGCTCTTGTAATCTAAGAATCCCCCCACCCCCCACATCTGCAGTTACAACTTTTATAGCAAGTTTTTAAAAAAAATGAAACCAGACATCGGTTGTTATAAAAACTGGCCATGAATAAGAATATAGGCATGTACAAATGCTAGTTATTTGGAGTGACATATTGAAATGCTATTAATATGATACAGTCTAATACTCTCTAATGATTTAGACAGAACAGTAACGGAGGACATGGTTGATGGTTTGCTGAGAACAGTAACGGAGGACATGGTTGATGGTTTGCTGAGAACAGTAACGGAGGACATGGTTGATGGTTTGCAGAGAACAATAATGGAGGGCATGGTTGATGGTTTGCTGAGAACAGTAATGGAGGGCATGGTTGATGGCTTGCAGAGAAAAGTAACGGAGGGCATGGTTTGCTGAGAACAAGAGGGCATGGGTGATGGTTTGCTGAGAACAGCAACAGACAGTATGGCCGATGGTTTGAAGAAAACAGTAATGGAGGGCATGGTTGCTAGAGGAAGAGGCAGAAGAAAACCACCATAAACCCGGACACAAGATATCGAGGAAATCATGAGCATCAAAGTCTGCAAGGGAGCAAGAGGTTTCTAGTGTGCTATGAAGTGACATTCATCAAAACACGGCTACAAGATACCATGCTTTACACACACAGGTGACAGTTTACCTAACCATGAATCACTCATTTCTTAAATGGCATGCTTTAGAACATAATTTATTCAAAGTCTGTACCTCTCTCAGTTTTTGGAGTTTCGTCCCATCTGTTTTTCCTAGCACTGGGTGTAGCTTTGTGGCCTGGGGTGTCGTCTCCCCTGCCCGGGGTGACTGCGCCTGGTGTGGCATGACCAGGAGTTGCATCCCATGCTCGGGAACTGGGTGTAGCACCTGGTGTTTCTGCTCCTGCGTTTGAGTAAAGCAGAATTAGCAAATTAAAACACACTGTCATTGTCCTGCCTGCCTGGCATATACTTAAAAATATTGTCATTGTCCTTTCTGTCTCTCATATACTTTTTAAAAAAAACCCAGATATTTATAATCATGTAGTCTGACTCATTCACCTAGTCTGTTAAAAAAAAAAACAACCTCCAAAGTAATCACAACTTGGTTAGCCTGTTTATTAATACAGGACCACACAAGAACTATCTAACAAATACATCTGTCTCTCAAAAGTGTCCCTTTATCTCTCATCTACATCAAGTGCTTGCTGACTGGCATGGGCGATCATGCCTCTAAACAATCTGCAACTGTGTGTATCAATTTGTGTGTTGACAACCCTCCATGCTGTGACAAAAGGCTACAAAAATCTTTCCAGTGGTCACGTGTTCCAGTTTCCTTTTCCTCACAATATGACTAAAAAATGATGACTGTCTCTTTTTGATGTTTGTAAAAAGTTGCCTTCAAGCCCTAACCTCTTTTAAAACATCTGGATTGCTCTTTTTTGGATGTCCAATGAATTTTAAGGATTCTTCTGTAAAACCACATCTCCAAAACCTCAAGAAATTGTTTGGCTTGCTTACTAACTCTGGGTACCCAGAAAGGCATCATACATTCAGTTTCCTACCTAAAAGCCCAGTTTTGTTATGCTTCATTTAAAACAGAAACTTGTGCGCATTTTGTATGCATCTATGACAGACTGTCCTATCCTGTGATAGAGAACTGCGGCAGTTACCACTGTTAGTTCTGTTCTCTACAGTGCAAACAGATGATCTAGCAATACTGCCGAACATAATAATCATTGAACACTAAATGTAAGTGAGAAACAGAACATCAAAGGCAGACATCACCATCATCAACCTCACGGGGTTAAGAACAGTAAATTAGTTGTAGATTTCACAAAGGAAATTAAAGACTCAGTTATCACCTACTCACAAAGGAAATTAAAGACTCAGTTATCACCTACTCACAAAGGAAATTAAAGACTCAGTTATCATCTACTCACAAAAGAAATTAAAGACTCAGTTATCACCTACTCACAAAGGAAATTAAAGACTCAGTTATCACCTACTCACAAAGGAAATTAAAGACTCAGTTATCACCTACTCACAAAAGAAATTAAAGACTCAGTTATCACCTACTCACAAAGGAAATTAAAGACTCAGTTATCACCTACTCACAAAGGAAATTAAAGACTCAGTTATCACCTACTCACAAAGGAAATTAAAGACTCAGTTATCATCTACTCACAAAGGAAATTAAAGACTCAGTTATCATCTACTCACAAAGGAAATTAAAGACTCAGTTATCACCTACTCACAAAGGAAATTAAAGACTCAGTTATCACCTACTCACAAAGGAAATTAAAGACTCAGTTATCACCTACTCACAAAGGAAATTAAAGACTCAGTTATCACCTACTCACAAAGGAAATTAAAGACTCAGTTATCATCTACTCACAAAGGAAATTAAAGACTCAGTTATCATCTACTCACAAAGGAAATTAAAGACTCAGTTATCACCTACTCACAAAAGAAATTAAAGACTCAGTTATCATCTACTCACAAAGGAAATTAAAGACTCAGTTATCACCTACTCACAAAGGAAATTAAAGACTCAGTTATCATCTACTCACAAAGGAAATTAAAGACTCAGTTATCATCTACTCACAAAGGAAATTAAAGACTCAGTTATCATCTACTCACAAAGGAAATTAAAGACTCAGTTATCATCTACTCACAAAGGAAATTAAAGACTCAGTTATCATCTACTCACAAAGGAAATTAAAGACTCAGTTATCACCTACTCACAAAAGAAATTAAAGACTCAGTTATCACCTACTCACAAAGGAAATTAAAGACTCAGTTATCACCTACTCACAAAGGAAATTAAAGACTCAGTTATCATCTACTCACAAGACTCAGTTATCATCTACTCACAAAGGAAATTGAAGACTCAGTTATCACCTACTCACAAAGGAAATTAAAGACTCAGTTATCATCTACTCACAAAGGAAATTAAAGACTCAGTTATCATCTACTCACAAAAGAAATTAAAGACTCAGTTATCATCTACTCACAAAGGAAATTAAAGACTCAGTTATCATCTACTCACAAAGGAAATTAAAGACTCAGTTATCATCTACTCACAAAGGAAATTAAAGACTCAGTTATCACCTACTCACAAAGGAAATTAAAGACTCAGTTATCACCTACTCACAAAAGAAATTAAAGACTCAGTTATCATCTACTCACGAAGGAAATTAAAGACTCAGTTATCACCTACTCACAAAGGAAATTAAAGACTCAGTTATCACCTACTCACAAAAGAAATTAAAGACTCAGTTATCACCTACTCACAAAAGAAATTAAAGACTCAGTTATCACCTACTCACAAAGGAAATTGAAGACTCAGTTATCACCTACTCACAAAGGAAATTAAAGACTCAGTTATCACCTACTCACAAAGGAAATTAAAGACTCAGTTATCACCTACTCACAAAAGAAATTAAAGACTCAGTTATCACCTACTCACAAAAGAAATTAAAGACTCAGTTATCATCTACTCACAAAAGAAATTAAAGACTAAGTTATCACCTACTCACAAAGGAAATTAAAGACTCAGTTATCACCTACTCACAAAAGAAATTAAAGACTCAGTTATCACCTACTCACAAAGGAAATTAAAGACTCAGTTATCACCTACTCACAAAGGAAATTAAAGACTCAGTTATCATCTACTCACAAAAGAAATTAAAGACTCAGTTATCATCTACTCACAAAGGAAATTAAAGACTCAGTTATCACCTACTCACAAAGGAAATTAAAGACTCAGTTATCATCTACTCACAAAAGAAATTAAAGACTCAGTTATCACCTACTCACAAAAGAAATTAAAGACTCAGTTATCACCTACTCACAAAGGAAATTAAAGACTCAGTTATCACCTACTCACAAAGGAAATTAAAGACTCAGTTATCACCTACTCACAAAGGAAATTAAAGACTCAGTTATCATCTACTCACAAAGGAAATTAAAGACTCAGTTATTACCTACTCACAAAGGAAATTAAAGACTCAGTTATCACCTACTCACAAAGGAAATTAAAGACTCAGTTATCATCTACTCACAAAGGAAATTAAAGACTCAGTTATCACCTACTCACAAAGGAAATTAAAGACTCAGTTATCACCTACTCACAAAGGAAATTAAAGACTCAGTTATCACCTACTCACAAAAGAAATTAAAGACTCAGTTATCACCTACTCACAAAGGAAATTGAAGACTCAGTTATCACCTACTCACAAAGGAAATTAAAGACTCAGTTATCATCTACTCACAAAGGAAATTAAAGACTCAGTTATCACCTACTCACAAAAGAAATTAAAGACTCAGTTATCATCTACTCACAAAGGAAATTAAAGACTCAGTTATCACCTACTCACAAAGCCAGTGATAAATTTAACTGACCGTTAAACAAGACAAAAAACTACTAACATACAGCTGCATGTATCACAAACCACTGGCAATACTCATTTACGGACTGCTCCTCCTATACATCAACAGTGACTGTATATAGCTCATCAGAATTATCTTACCTCTATGTACAATATTCTGGATCCTCTGATCTTGTTGGGGTTATTCTACATTTAACTGCTTTAACACATCTCCCAGCAGCTGTTACTGATCATCTTACAATATGTTGCTTCCAGCAGGTCCTGTTACAACTTCTTCTTCAGCATCCCTAGCCCTTGAGGTTCACTGCCTCCATTCATCTCTGTGATCTGTGCTCTCTTTTCAGCTGCTGATTCCAAGTGTTGCAGGTCAGGTCTGGATACCATCTCTACTCGTCTTCCTCATGCTCTACAGCCATTCAACCCACTTGTGTACACATTCTTTGTATCTCTGTCATTCTTTCTCTCTTTTTGCCCCAGCCATTTACTTGTTTAAATTATGGAACGCATGTTCGCTGTGTACTCACCATCACTTCTGTTTTTTTACTGTTCAGACTAAGACTTCTGACAAGACTTTCTGTTACAATTATATTAATAACAGGACAGACTACACTGCACCGGTTGTATTCCATAGGACCACGTCTATCTCCATACTGCCAGCAGTATGTTCCCAGAACAGCAACAATCCCTGGGGATTTCCACAAAGACTGCACTCTCCAGCTAGATGATATGCTCATGAATCAAACCCACAAACTTCACAGCATGAGAAGGAGCCCCTTCCCCAAGTTGTGATCAATCCTACCATCAGCATATCACAGGATGTGTAAACAACATCTACTAACTGATTTTCCTGGCATCACAAATGTATCTTATCAATTCCCTGTATAAATTGAACAGAACAGGCAAAAGCACACAGGACTGCCAAAAACCTTTTCAATGCATCGAAAAATTTCGATTTGGCTGCCAAGAAACATCAAACACAGAACATTCCTACCTTTAGCCCGTCCAGGTGTTTCAAGAATCAAGTAAAATAACACAAAACTCTTCTACCTCTAGCCCGCCCAGGTGTTTCAAGAATCAAGTCAAATAACACAAAACTCTCCTACCTTTAGCCCGCCCAGGTGTTTCAAGAAACAAGAAAAATAACACAAAACTCTCCTACCTTTAGCCCGTCCAGGTGTTTCAAGAAACAAGTCAAATAACACAAAACACTCTAACCCGCCCAGGTGTTTCAAGAAACAAGTCAAATAACACAAAACTCTCCTACCTTTAGCCCGTCCAGGTGTTTCAAGAAACAAGTCAAATAACACAAAACACACTAACCCGCCCAGGTGTTTCAAGAAACAAGTCAAATAACACAAAACACTCTAACCCGCCCAGGTGTTTCAAGAAACAAGTCAAATAACACAAAACATTCCTACCTTTAGCCCGTCCAGGTGTTTCATCCCACCTGCTGTTAGAAGGTGTTGATGCTTCTGCAGCATCCCACGATGATGATTTCTTTTTGGCAGGCACCCCTTCCTCTCCACCAGCCTGATCCCAACGTCTGCGTTTGGAAGCTTGCTTCTGTGCATCTGAGCCATTGACTACCCTCAAGTCTCCTGCTTTGGCTTTTTCCTGCATCTGTGCCCGTAGAGCAGCCTGTGCAACAGTGACATTTCAATATTATTATTGCTGCAGATGTGAAGAAACAAAGTCTTATCAATAACAGCAAGGCCGGAACAATGTCTAGCAGAAAAACCACCTGCTCCAAAGCAGTAAAAAATATCTCGACAATAATAACTCATTTAAAACAATATTATTATAGTTAGCCGTCCCAAAACAGAGTTAACCCACTTGAAAATTGTCATTGTGGTTTGTATATTTACTAATGTTAAACTGATCAGAGGGTTACCATTCAGCCAATGTCAACAACAGTCAGGCCAAAAGCTCTCTGAAAACTCAAATAACTTCAGTTTGTGTATTTTACTAGTGGGTCAGCCATCACGACAATCTTACTACAAAATGTAGACCCTGATACCCCCTGCAGGACAACCTACTGACAACACAGTTAAAAAAGAAGGACAACAGCAAAATGTTGTCAATCTGTTATTACAAATCAATGGTCCTCCCCCATCTCTACATCACACAAATGGAAGGTTCCCCCTCTGGCACTCTCCCACCTCTACATCACACACACACAAATGGAAGGTTCCCCCTCTGGCACTCCCCCATCTCTACATCGCACAAATGGAAGGTTCCCCCTCTGGCACTCCCCCATCTACATCGCACAAATGGAAGGTTCCCCCTCTGGCACCCTCACATCTCTACATTACACAAATAGAAGGTTACCCCTCTGGCACTCCCCCATCTCTAAATCGCACAAATGGAAGGTTCCCCCTCTGGCACCCTCACATCTCTATATCACACAAATGGAAGGTTCCCCCTCTGGCATCCTCACATCTCTAAATCACACAAATGGAAGGTTCCCCCTCTGGCACTCCCCCATCTCTACATCACACAAATGAGATTAAGAACAAATAAAACACAGTAAGCTGAGAAATCTACATACCTGCTCTTTAGTAAGTGCCTTCTCAGCCATGACATCCTGGTAGGTTCTGCCAATACGTCCGAGGTCTGGTGTTTTTCCTCCTACAACGAGAAAGCAGAGAAGTCACGACCGTGCCGTGACCCAAATCAGATTAGACAATGATCAGATTTATAAACACAAAATCTATCCATCCCAGGTTATCTAACAGAAATGGATCTGATTGCTGTAGCATTTCTTTATCTACATTTTATGTATACAATAAATAATCATTGCAACAAGTTACATGTTTCATGATCAGATCCATCTCAACAACCAGAAAATATGTGCCCTTGGTTGCTAGGAGAACTAGAGGTGAGCGTCAGCAGCACAAGGAGAAAGAGACTGTCACGTGTGTCAGTGAAGTGTCGGACGTATGAGGTGGATGCATTCAACACTAAAATGCCAACACTGCCATAGAGTTGGTGATAAAATGCATCTGATGTCATTTTGTTGTGTTAGAATAAATAAATGTGTCATATCTGCAAATGTCACTGAACTTAGACAGAGATGCAAAATGGATGAACAAAAGAGCACATATTTTCCAGCGAGAAAAGGCTGACCACCAAGACCTGAAAGACAAGTCTGAGCTGCGCCAGCCTCCCCTCAAAGAAAGCTTTGGCAGACAAATGTTAGGCCAGAAATATGGCCCCAATGTGAGGCCCTAATTCCCATGTCTAGGACAATACACACAACTGATGCCAAATATTGACTGCCAATCCCAGATGTATGCCAAAGCTGAAGAAACCGTGTTCTACACTATCTTACGTATACGTACGCTTTCAGCAGATGCAACTGTCTGGCTCACAGGCTGTAAACAAATGATCCAGCATCCCTAGAATTAGTCTTTCATTAGTTCAGTGACATCAGACTGTGATTAAGGGACTAACATAAATACGTACATTCATAATAACACTTCTTAAAACTTTATCTGTAGCAATCCCATTACTTTAAGTGTGTGAGATATTATTAACTATTAATGGTGAATATATGATGTGATAAAGTTGTTAACTTTAGTTTAATCAATTCTTGACTTATGATTCAGTATCAGAGATAGATAAATTTAACTGATTTGTGTGTGTGTCTCTCTCTAAACTAGACCCTCACAATCAGCATACAAATGACAACGAAGCGCAGGCGACCTAAACCCATGAACCACGAAGCTTTCTGTAGATCACTTGGCGTCAGCAGCATTTGAACACAGCTAGGAAGGAAAGGGACTTGTATTAGACTGGCATGGCTTTGTTGGTTGTCACGTAGACGACAAATTCACACAAACAAGACAAGTTGGAAGAAAGCACAAATGAGAACAAACAAGCAGACACATTTCAGGCAACAACAGAAGAAGCTGATACAACATTTGTCCAACAGAACAAGCATTCAACAAATCATGGCCATCATTTGACTCATTTTCCCAAATGTGTGTAGGCATTAGATCATTATATGATCAGACTTTGGGCCTGTATTTGTTCCAATCTCAGAAAGAGTAACTGGCCACTGTCGGTGGATGATGACATATCCGTCAGAGAGCCTCCAACAGAAAGTATCCAATATTTTACTAGAATGGCCACAATCCACCAGAGTGGCTAAGAAAGAATTCCTGTTCAAATCCTAGTTATGGTAGCTAGCTTAAGGCCCATGTAGAGTCCATGAATGAACATTTGACCTTCCCTCTGATGGGAAAGTGAACCGCAGTTACAATGGGACCAAAAAGTCCTGACAGTGTCTATGAAACCTGTAGGTAAAGACCACCAGTGACTTTGTTCACACTCTTCCATGAACAATTCTCCCTAGTCTGTCTCAGGCATCAAAGCAACTTTGTGAGGTCCTTAAAGTCCTTTGTATTGTGATAATCCTCTGATATCTAATCGTACATGTAACTTTGCAAGGCTGTGTCAGATATCACCAAACAATACCTACGCCACAGGCATTCACCACAATATCAGCCATCAGTATGTATTTATGATGAGGCGGGCCAAGAGGTAGCAAACCCACCTTCTTCCACGGATATTTATTACAGGCAGCAAATCTGAACAGAATATGCGTGCAATGATGCCAAATAAGCATAAGGCAGTCAAGTTCTCCAAAACCACCTGATGGCAGCAATGATCAATGTCATGTCAGCAACCTTTACCTCCCAGAATGTTTCCCTGTACCCACTTGTGGGCGTGCTGACATTAAAACCATGGCCAATGCAGAAATCCTGTCTCAGTGAAGACTGAAACCTATGACCAGCAGGCCTGCTAGTAGGTGAGCTAACAACAGCTCTACTGCAGCTCTGTGCTACCACGTACCTCACAAATGTCCAGCTGCATACACAGAGGACTCCATGTTTTATATCCTGTCACAGTTGACAGATTTCAAGGATGAGTTTATTGTCTTAAGTGCTGGGTGTGCCATAACATGCATCAGTGACCATTTAAAATCTGACTGAAGCCGACAACTTTCTTGTTTATCAAATCCTGGATTACGTCAGCAAAAACAGTGTTGTGATGATCAGTATTTTAGCCAATGATTTGTGTGGGTTTAGTGTATCATGACCAGTTCCTGCAAGCCCAGGCTTCACTATGTCCCAGTTTTGATTGTCTGGTATAGCATGACCACATCCTGCAAGCCCAGGCTTCACTATGTCCCAGTTTTGACTGTCTGGTATAGCATGACCACATCCTGCAAGCCCAGGCTTCACTATGTCCCAGTTTTGACTGTCTGGTATAGCATGACCACATCCTGCAAGCCCAGGCTTCACTATGTCCCAGTTTTGATTGTCTGGTATAGCATGACCACATCCTGCAAGCCCAGGCTTCACTATGTCCCAGTTTTGACTGTCTGGTATAGCATGACCACATCCTGCAAGCCCAGGCTTCACTATGTCCTAGTTTGATTGTCTGGTATAGCATGACCACATCCTGCAAGCCCAGGCTTCACTATGTCCTAGTTTGATTGTCTGGTATAGCATGACCAGTTCCTGCAAGCCCAGACTTCACTATGTCCCAGTTTTGATTGTCTGGTATAGCAGGACCAGTTCCTGCAAGCCCAGGCTTCACTATGTCCCAGTTTTGATTGTCTGATATAGCATGACCACATCCTGCAAGCCCAGGCTTCACTATGTCCCAGTTTTGACTGTCTGGTGTAGCAGGACCAGTTCCTGCAAGCCCAGGCTTCACTATGTCCCAGTTTTGACTGTCTGGTGTAGCAGGACCACTTTCTGCAAGCCCAGGCTTCACTATGTCCCAGTTTTGATTGTCTGGTGCAGCATGGAGAAACCTGGACACAAATAAGTCCAGTGATCTCATTCATGAGTTTATTCACCGTAACCTTTGCTGACCAGATGTTTTATATACTGATAATATATCACGACAGCTTTGCCACACCAGACTCTGTCGTCATCAACACGAGTATGATCATCAAACTTGCCAGCAAACCTGTTGTGTTGCAATAAGTGATCCCAGCAGCATCATATCAGATAATGTGGATACATCAAGACAGATCTTTTAGTTCTACAACATACATAACTGCTTTCTATATTTGATGACATTCATAAAACACAAGAGTGCTCATTGACATAAACAATGAGGCTATGCAAAAAAGGGCAATACCTTGAGCAAAAGGATCATATCTCTCGGGAGAGATGATCATCTGCCTCCTGATAGCCTTGTACGCATCTTCCCTGTCGGCAATTTTAGGGATCCTGTGCTCGGCCATGGGATCATAGTCCTGGAGTAATGAATGTAAAGTTTACAGTTTTTTGTATTACCATTAAAAAATATCTGCAATATATGGTAACAATATTACAGATACATCGATGTTAAAGTTTGCACATATACTAGGTTAGAGCTGGCCAAACTTGGGCACATGGTCACTGTTCTTATCATACCCAATAAAAGCTCAGCAGTCACGATCAATGGTACGCCATGGATAGTTAACACTTCTGATGGGTGGTTGGTCAGAAATGATGATTGCCTGACACACCTTTAACTACACTAATTCAGCTCAACTAACCCCAGAAATTCATAAGTAACTGCAAAGTGGATGAAGAAACCATTGTTCAATACATTCACAAGAATAACATGTTACTACTGATCTCAATGCCTTGTGGTTGTCTACTCGTGAAAGCCAGCTAATGTGACTGTTATATCATGTGTACTACACCAAGCTGGTTGTACACCCTGATTGTTATATAATTTGTATATAGGGACTGTCACACCCTGATTGTTATATAATTTGTATATAGGGACTGTCACACCCTGATTGTTATATAATTTGTATATAGGGACTGTCACACCCTGATTGTTATATAATTTGTATATAGGGACTGTCACAACCTGATTGTTATATAATTTGTATATAGGGACTGTCACACCCTGATTGTTATATAATTTGTATATAGGGACTGTCACACCCTGATTGTTATATAATTTGAATATGGGGACTGTCACACCCTGATTGTTATATAATTTGTATATAGGGACTGTCACACCCTGATTGTTATATAATTTGTATATAGGGACTGTCACACCCTGATTGCTATATAATTTGTATATAGGGACTGTCACACCCTGATTGTTATATAATTTGTATATAGGGACTGTCACACCCTGATCGCTATATAATTTGTATATAGGGACTGAAGGGACTGTCACACCCTGATTGTTATATAATTTGTATATAGGGAATGAAGGGACTGTCACAACCTGATCGCTATATAATTTGTATATAGGGACTGAAGGGACTGTCACACCCTGATCGCTATATAATTTGTATATAGGGACTGAAGGGACTGTCACACCCTGATCGCTATATAATTTGTATATAGGGACTGTCACAACCTGATTGTTATATAATTTGTATAGAGGGACTGTCACAACCTGATTGTTATATAATTTGTACTATACCAAAGCGGTTATCACATTCTTGATTGTGATATAATTTGTACTACACAGAGCTGATAGAAAATTTGAAATTCTTAGATCATACCTTCACCAGTGATAATTAATCAACAAGATGAGCTGTGTATTCTGCACAATAAATTGCCTCGTCATGAACTATATGTCACATTTGTACCCATTCAGCCAGTAACACAAGACATGGTACTGAGCTAGCCTTCAGCCAGCAACACAAGACATAGTCCTGAGCTTGCATTCAGCCAGCAACACAACACATGGTCCTAAGCTTGCATTCAGCCAGCAACACAACACATGGTCCTGAGCTAGCTTTCAGCCAGTAACACAAGACATGGTCCTGAGCTTGCATTCAGCCAGTAACACAAGACATGGTCCTGAGCTTGCATTCAGCCAGTAACACAACACATGGTCCTGAGCTAGCTTTCAGCCAGCAACACAACACATGGTCCTGAGCTAGCTTTCAGCCAGTAACACAACACATGGTCCTAAGCTAGCTTTCAGCCAGCAACACAACACATGGTCCTGAGCTAGCATTCAGCCAGCAACACAACACATAGTCCTGAGCTTGCATTCAGCCAGCAACACAACACATAGTCCTGAGCTTGCATTCAGCCAGCAACACAACACATGGTCCTGAGCTTGCATTCAGCCAGCAACACAACACATGGTCCTGAGCTAGCATTCAGCCAGCAACACAACACATGGTCCTGAGCTAGCTTTCAGCCAGCAACACAGCACATGGTCCTGAGCTTGCATTCAGCCAGCAACACAACACATGGTCCTGAGCCTGCTCTCAGCCAGTAACACAACACATGGTCCTGAGCTAGCTTTCAGCCAGTAACACAACACATGGTCCTGAGCTAGAATTTAGCCAGCAACACAACACATGGTCCTGAGCTAGCTTTCAGCCAGCAACACAACACATGGTCCTAAGCTAGCTGTCAGCCAGCAACACAACACATGGTCCTGAGCTAGCATTCAGCCAGTAACACAAGACATGGTCCTGAGCTTGCTTTCAGCCAGCAACACAACACATAGTCTTGAGCTAGCATTCAGCCAGCGACACAACACAAGGTCCTGAGCTTGCATTCAGCCAGCAACACAAGACAAACGTACCTGATCATTGGATGCATCATGAAGGAGATTCAGCGGAGCTGTGTAGCTGGACTTTTTTGTATACACTTGTGTGACATCGTCATCATCCTAAAAAAAAAAAAACAGGAACTGTTAAGAACTTTTTATTGTTTTGAAGACTTAACTTTTAAACAGAGATGGTATTCTTGTGTGCAACTGTCTATCAGATAACATCTTGAAGCTACACAGTTAGCAATAGTTTTTATATTTTATTTATGCAAAATATTTTATTCCTTATATACAGAGGCATATTTGTTGATTTTGTTTTGTCAAAAGCAAACTTGACTTCTTGAAAATTATGCATTTAGTTCACAGGCTCTTGATATTGGTGCTTCAGGAATTTATTGTCATCAGACACAACTAGCATACAGAAGGATCTGTGGTCAGTTTCACAAATACAACACAATATGGACACATCTTGCTGACTGCGGTGTGTGTATATGTGTGTGGACAAACATCCCAATAAACAACAGAAGATGGTAAGCAAGGCAGGGCGTGAAATAAACAGATGTGAGAAGCTTGCTTACATCTGGCTCATCATTGACTGCAATCGATGTGACGTATCCACCTTCATAGCGGCTACCTCCATAGATGTCTCTATCGTAGTGACCTTCGGCCCCAAGTCCGACTCTATCCTCCTCTGAGTCTTTATTAAGAAGCTTCTGCTTGCTTGCCTGCAGGTTCCGAACAGTTTCTTCAATTTCTGCAGATGTACATGACATTAATTGTATGCATGGTGATCTCACAGCAAGTTCATTATCATAAAAAAAAAATGTTTCAAAGTTGATTCCTATTCCAGTAAATCCATGAGACATTACTATCTCAAGAAGATAAATGTGTGGTTTTTGTATTGCTGTTTTTAAAATGTAAATGTTACAGGAAGATTTCTAAGAGTTTCATGCACCAATAGGAGGAAACATATCCTCATTCTACATGATCTGTATATCAAATGGGACTGGTTCCTTAACGGCACTGTTTCACATTCACACACAAAAAAAAATGTGTGCATGCTAAAAACGATAATGGTTCAGAGAGAACACTAATGGAGGTTGTGGTTTCTGGAAGAAGAGGCAAGGACTGACCAGCATTTTTGGATACTATGGGCACAAAGGGTTATGGAGCCGGACAATTAGCAGGGCATTTCCCAGTGTCGGTTTTCAGACCCCACTGTAGGTGAAACAAAAATAAGACACAGTGCCTAACAAGCAGGTCACCAATGTAAACTAATTAGGGGTTTCCTTTGAAGTCAGCATCTGCCAAAGAGGCAAGCAAGCAACAGTCTATGCAAATTATCCTGATTTGTAAAACAGATGTGCAGACAAGTCTACAAGTAGATAAACAACCAGAACTTCCCACTGGAGTTTACAGCCAGTGAACGTGAAATAGAATCCAGTTCACTGAATAGTTTTCCAGAGACGTTCTGCAAAAGGTCAAAAGCAACCTACATGCTTGATGAATCTTACTGAGCTCGCCCAATGAGGTGTCGGACAGACAATGAAAATATTGGAATACAGACAACACTGAACAAGGATTAAAGCACATACAAATAGGCTATCCTCCGAATAACAGCCACATATTATGGCAGCCAAAAACACACTCTGACAGGGCCTTTTTAGGTCGTGTGTTGTAAACATTCAAAAACTCAAAAATAATGAGGAACACACAAAAAAAGGAAAAATGACAAAAGACTACTTAGCAATAATTGAGGCCTTTTTATCTGGAAATAGTGGCACAGAAGTTGCAAATAGTGCTAGAAAATCTGCTCTTTGTGGCTGTGGTGCCATTAAAACTCGGCTAAACATGATCGGTGCTGCATTGGTAACGCAGTTTTCACCGCAGAGAGTATCTCCCAGATAGGGGGCTAAACTAGATGCCTGGGAATCACGAGCAAATTAATTGGAGGAAGTTGCAGGAGATGCGGTAGCTGCTGCTCACGAGTCCCAGCCATCTAGTTTAGCTCCCCCCATCCGAGCCGCACATAGCCGCGCAGGGGATACCCTCACCGGTGAGTTTAATCATAAGAAGACTATCGCTAGCCTGCGTCGAAGCGTGTGGTCTTCCCGCCATGTCGCTACTATCATGTGTATTGTTGCGTTTCTCAAAATTGTCAACGGACAGTAATCCCAGTTTTGCCACGATGTGTTCGTCGGAGGAAGTCAGCAATTTACATGTTATTGAGGCCCTGTCAGGGTGTGTTTTTGGCTGCTATAATATGTGGCCGTTATTCAGAGGATAGCCCACAAATATATTCTGGATGTGAGAACAAGAAGTAAAGATTGCACAGCCAGACAAGAGAGGCACATTGGATGTACAAGAACCTAGTTAACAAGCACAGGATGTGCACTATTATCTGCAGGATTTTGATGCTCAAGATGTCTAGTTAACAAGCACAAGATGTGCACTATTATCTGCAGGATTTTGATGCTCAAGATGTCTAGTTAACAAGCACAGGATGTGCACTATTATCTGCAGGATTTTGATGCTCAAGATGTCTAGTTAACAAGCACAGGATGTGCACTATTATCTGCAGGATTGTGATGCTTAAGATGAAGGGGAAATCTGAGCAGCCACTGATGTGTCCAGATCACTCATGTGGATGTCTAAACATGTTTCAAATGCAACATTAACAATGTTGTGTATGTGCCTGAGAGTTACAACTTGTCTGCTGTAGAGCACAGATATCCTATTGATTTCTTCATGTAAACAGTGTCACTGTTCATGTTTCATCCCTTGGTAGGATTGTCAGATCTTACTTTAATCTTTACCATCAAGTTTTCCTGTTGTCACTAAGTTTAAGTCTCAATATAAATTGTGACTGTGTATTATTTGGACTGCTTCAAGTAGCAGCATGATTGCTGTCAATCTTCATGGCTTTCTGTTCAGTAAACAGGTGTTCTTAATAAAACCAATACAGTCCACCCACACACCTCTAGCTTTCTGAGACTGTCTCTATTCTATTTAATATTATGTATTATTTTTTGTTTAGATAAATTAGTCAAAAAATGGCTCTCCTCCAAACTTCTACCCCCGCATTATGGTGGCAACAAATATCCGTTCGGGGCTCAGTTCTATTAAAAATATGCCAGCTTCGTATAACAAAACAAATGCCCTAACAGGGTCTCAGCGATATGTTACTTGCGGACCTGTTTCTTATTGTTTCTGATTACCTGACAATTCTAAGAGACGCAACACTGCAGACGACAGTAGCAGATGAAAATAGCGACCGTTGACACTTCCCATTGTGGGACTTTCTGCCGAGAAACAAATCGCAGCAAATCTAAGATTGACTCGGAAAAACGAAACAAATGCTCGAACAGGGTCTCAGCGATATGTTACTTGCGGATCTGTGACTATGTCTCACCGCCGAGGGTATCCCCCGCACCGCTACGCAGATAAGGGATAAACTAGATGGCTGGGACTCACGAGCAGCAGCTACCACATCTCCTGCAACTTCCTCCAATTACTTTGCTTGTGAGTCCCAGGCACCTAGTTTAGCCGCCCATCCGTGAGTTTAATCGCGTTTTGCGCATGCCGGCAAGTCTGACATTTACTGCTGCTAAATCCTTAATCGGAAGAACAGTATTGCTAATCTGCGTGGGAGCGCGTGGTCTACCCGCCATGTCACTTTCATCATCTGTAATGTCTCGAAATTGTCAACGGTCGCTTTCATCGTCTGCTAAAACGCTCGACATTGTCACTGGTCGCTTTTATCGTCTGCTACTATCGATGCAATGTTGCGTCTCTTGTCAATTAATCCTAGTTTTGTCGCAATTTGTTCCTTGTCAGAAAGTCCGAATTTTTCATTGGACTGAGCCCCGAACGGATATTTGTTGCCGTGCGCGGGTAGAAGTTCGGAGGAGAGCCCAAAACTAAAGATTTCCCATTGATAAATGATTTTATATTATTTTATTTATACTTTACAGTTATTACACCACATAACTAACTTCCCACACATCCCTGTCTCTTTTATAGATAAAGATTTTCCTACAAATCATTGTCCCTCTCATGTTTTCAGGTACAAACAACCCTGCACACATTTTATCAGGCGGCTCGGGATCAGTCCGGCATGTTGCGAAGACGGGTGTTTGTTGTTGAATGTCGTATGTTGTTCGTTTGACAACAAAGATACTGTTTGACACAATCAATATCCGTGATTACGATTACCGTCTTCGGAGACGTAAGATAACAAAAGCATTGTATACAAGAAAAACATCGACAGCAATATATTCAACGTCTGATTTCGTTTCAATTGCATCTGTAGCTGTTCGCTTACCTTCATGGGTTGTCGCCGCCATGTTGAAAATATTATTATTCATGACGTCACAGCATCCCACAATCCTTTGCGCATTGTTTTGCGGTACGGACAGAAAATGTTCCTGGGAAATTTGGTTACTAATTTATGTTTGAGTTCGGTTGAGTTAGGACTCCATATCACAGCACTCGGGGCATTCTCACAAGAGCCCAGTCCCTATCTTTAGCAGTCAGCCAGAGTCCCAGTTTCATTGCAGCAGTAGCAGTCTTACTGGGTGTCTGTCTTAGCCGTCCTCTGAGTGATCGGTGTCCGCCAGGTTACCTGGTCCCTCCTAACTAAACAATTCTCTTCAAACCGTGAATAATTGTGCCTTAGCATTGTGACATACACAAACGCGCACGTTCCCGCACACGCACACACACACACACACACACGAGCGCACGCTTATACACAAGCACACACCACACATATATGCGCGAGAGAGAGAGAGAGAGAAGAGAGAGAGAGCAAACGAACAAACTTTATTTTTAAAGGGTAATGAATTGGGCACACAGGCTCGTCTAACATTCTGCTCTTCTAGTCTCATCCCTTTCATACATCATTTTATTAACAAATTAAGTATTAGTAACAATAAAAAGCGTCAAAATATTCAATATAAGCACTGGAATGTGCACATTTCTGACTACAGTAAACAGTAGTAGTTCTAAAAATTCTAAGGGGGGGGGGGGGGGGAGTGCTATTCCTAAAGTATATTTATCTTCAAATCTTCTTACAGAAACATCATCGCCACAACAGCTGAGAACATGATTCCTAAAAAAATTACACAAGAAACAGATTTAAAATACAGAAATAAACTTTCAGGCTAAGAGAAGAAAGAAGAAATTTAAAGCAAGTAGGGACAGAAACAAATAACCATTCATATAGGAACTACACAGAAGAAGTAGGGACAGAAACATATAACCATGCGTATAGGAACTACACAGAAGAAGTAGGGACAGAAACAAATAACCATGCATATAGGAACTACACGGAAGAAGTAGGGACAGAAACAAATAACCATGCATATAGGAACTACACAGAAGAAGTAGGGACAGAAACATATAACCATGCATATAGGAACTACACAGAAGAAGTAGGGACAGAAACAAATAACCATGCATATAGGAACTACACAGAAGAAGTAGGGACAGAAACATATAACCATGCATATAGGAACTACACAGAAGAAGTAGGGCCAGAAACATATAACCATGCGTATAGGAACTACACAGAAGAAGTAGGGACAGAAACAAATAACCATGCATATAGGAACTACACGGAAGAAGTAGGGACAGAAACAAATAACCATGCATATAGGAACTACACAGAAGAAGTAGGGACAGAAACATATAACCATGCATATAGGAACTACACAGAAGAAGTAGGGACAGAAACAAATAACCATGCATATAGGAACTACACAGAAGAAGTAGGGACAGAAACATATAACCATGCGTATAGGAACTACACAGAAGAAGTAGGGACAGAAACAAATAACCATGCATATAGGAACTACACGGAAGAAGTAGGGACAGAAACAAATAACCATGCATATAGGAACTACACAGAAGAAGTAGGGACAGAAACATATAACCATGCGTATAGGAACTACACAGAAGAAGTAGGGACAGAAACAAATAACCATGCATATAGGAACTACACGGAAGAAGTAGGGACAGAAACATATAACCATGCATATAGGAACTACACAGAAGAAGTAGGGACAGAAACATATAACCATGCATATAGGAACTACACAGAAGAAGTAGGGACAGAAACATATAACCATGCATATAGGAACTACACAAAAGAAGTAGGGACAGAAACATATAACCATGCATATAGGAACTACACAGAAGAAGTAGGGACAGAAACAAATAACCATGCGTATAGGAACTACACGGAAGAAGTAGGGACAGAAACATATAACCATGCATATAGGAACTACACGGAAGAAGTAGGGACAGAAACATATAACCATGCATATAGGAACTACACAGAAGAAGTAGGGACAGAAAACATATAACCATGCATATAGGAACTACACAGAAGAAGTAGGGACAGAAACATATAACCATGCATATAGGAACTACACAGAAGAAGTAGGGACAGAAACATATAAACCATGCATATAGGAACTACATGGAAGAAGTAGGGACAGAAACAAATAACCATGCATATAGGAACTACACAGAAGAAGTAGGGACAGAAACAAATAACCATGCATATAGGAACTACACAGAAGAAGTAGGGACAGAAACAAATAACCATGCATATAGGAACTACACAGAAGAAGTAGGGACAGAAACAAATAACCATGCATATAGGAACTACACAGAAGAAGTAGGGACAGAAACAAATAACCATGCATATAGGAACTACACAGAAGAAGTAGGGACAGAAACAAATAACCATGCATATAGGAACTACACAGAAGAAGTAGGGACAGAAACAAATAACCATGCATATAGGAACTACACAGAAGAAGTAGGGACAGAAACAAATAACCATGCATATAGGAACAACACAGAAGAAGTAGGGACAGAAACAAATAACCATGCATATAGGAACTACACAGAAGAAGTAGGGACAGAAACAAATAACCATGCATATAGGAACTACACAGAAGAAGTAGGGACAGAAACAAATAACCATGCATATAGGAACTACACAGAAGAAGTAGGGACAGAAACAAATAACCATGCATATAGGGAACTACACAGAAGAAGTAGGGACAGAAACATATAACCATGCATATAGGAACTACACAGAAGAAGTAGGGACAGAAACAAATAACCATGCATATAGGAACGAAGAAGTAGGGACAGAACAAATAACCATGCATATAGGAACTACACAGAAGAAGTAGGGACAGAAATAAAAACACCAGCATATAGGAACTACACAGAAGAAGTAGGGACAGAAACATATAACCATGCATATAGGAACTACACAGAAGAAGTAGGGACAGAAACAAATAACCATGCATATAGGAACTACACAGAAGAAGTAGGGACAGAAACAAATAACCATGCATATAGGAACAACACAGAAGAAGTAGGGACAGAAACAAATAACCATGCATATAGGAACTACACAGAAGAAGTAGGGACAGAAACATATAACCATGCGTATAGGAACTACACAGAAGAAGTAGGGACAGAAACAAATAACCATGCATATAGGAACTACACGGAAGAAGTAGGGACAGAAACAAATAACCATGCATATAGGAACTACACAGAAGAAGTAGGGACAGAAACATATAACCATGCATATAGGAACTACACAGAAGAAGTAGGGACAGAAACATATAACCATGCATATAGGAACTACACAAAAGAAGTAGGGACAGAAACATATAACCATGCATATAGGAACTACACAGAAGAAGTAGGGACAGAAACAAATAACCATGCGTATAGGAACTACACGGAAGAAGTAGGGACAGAAACATATAACCATGCATATAGGAACTACACGGAAGAAGTAGGGACAGAAACATATAACCATGCATATAGGAACTACACAGAAGAAGTAGGGACAGAAACATATAACCATGCATATAGGAACTACACAGAAGAAGTAGGGACAGAAACATATAACCATGCATATAGGAACTACACAGAAGAAGTAGGGACAGAAACATATAACCATGCATATAGGAACTACATGGAAGAAGTAGGGACAGAAACAAATAACCATGCATATAGGAACTACACAGAAGAAGTAGGGACAGAAACAAATAACCATGCATATAGGAACTACACAGAAGAAGTAGGGACAGAAACAAATAACCATGCATATAGGAACTACACAGAAGAAGTAGGGACAGAAACAAATAACCATGCATATAGGAACTACACAGAAGAAGTAGGGACAGAAACAAATAACCATGCATATAGGAACTACACAGAAGAAGTAGGGACAGAAACAAATAACCATGCATATAGGAACTACACAGAAGAAGTAGGGACAGAAACAAATAACCATGCATATAGGAACTACACAGAAGAAGTAGGGACAGAAACAAATAACCATGCATATAGGAACAACACAGAAGAAGTAGGGACAGAAACAAATAACCATGCATATAGGAACTACACAGAAGAAGTAGGGACAGAAACAAATAACCATGCATATAGGAACTACACAGAAGAAGTAGGGACAGAAACAAATAACCATGCATATAGGAACAACACAGAAGAAGTAGGGACAGAAACCAATAACCATGCATATAGGAACTACACAGAAGAAGTAGGGACAGAAACATATAACCCTGCGTATAGGAACTACACAGAAGAAGTAGGGACAGAAACAAATAACCATGCATATAGGAACTACACAGAAGAAATCAGAAAAGCTGTCAGGGAAGATAACATACAGTTTATTATAAATACCTGTAAAAGAATTGAACAACTCCAGATGTAAGGAAGAGAAAGAGACATGTTTAAAGAAATAAAAACATTGAAAGGCGAATTCGGGCCTTCATTTCATGTATTAAGTGATAAAAACGGTAATAAATTAACGGAAACCAAAGACATATTAGAAAGATGGAAAGAATACTGTAGAGAAATGTTTGAGGATGTGACAGGTAATTCAAAAACAACTTGTGAAAGTTGTAAAAAAGAACCAGAGCCTTTACCGGATAAGGTACGATCAGCAATACGCAGCCTGAAGAAAGGAAAGTCACCAGGTTGCGACGAAATAACAGCAGAACTAATTCAAGCAGGAGGAGAGGCCAGCTTCCGATTCTACCATGCACTGTGCACGAAGATCTGGAACAGTGGCATTTGGCCTAAAGCGTGGGGGAAAAAACCAATCTATATCACTCTTTAAAAGAAAGGAAATCTGAAACTATGCTCCAACTACCGTACCATCGCATAAATAAGTCATGCTAGCAAATTATCATAAAGAGGACTGAAAGGAAATTACAATATGAGCTACATGAAGCACAAGCGGGTTTCAGACAGGGTAGAGGAACTAGGGATCTCATCTTTAGTA